AATCGTGTACATTACACCCAAACACCGCAACGCTCGAGTTTCAAACATACAGTTAACTAGCTGTACTGAACTTTCTGAGTAAATTAAGGGCGCAATTGCAAACGATGGTGCTTAGCGAAATTTGATTGGCTAAGTCTATGGCAGCCATCTTGGATGTACACGCACACAGCTCTGTGTATTTCGAACATCGAATACATTGCAGTTAGCGCTCTAGTTTTCTTATTATATCTCTATGGTCTTTAGGCAGGCACTTCACCTGGGGGCAGTGGTGTATCTAGGTGGGTGCGCAGAGGGAGCACGTTCCCCGCAAGGAAAAACTCCTACCGCAACTACCCAGGAGTATGAATGAGTACCTGATGGAGGGGAATGATGTGATAAAATTGGAAAATTAAAGGCAACACTACATATACTCCACAGGGAGCAAAGGTCATTGCGCAGCAAGAATAATGGATTCTACGTCCAAAATTGCTGCGTAAGTAAAAGGAAAAAATAATAAGTCAATAATCTGTACATGGATAATGATTTAATTACAAATTCTTATTATAGTTGGAGTGGTCGACATCTTTGGGGGTTCTGTCAGCAAGATATAAGAGTCTTTGCAACAAGCAACCCAATAATTCCTAAAACCTGCAAGGGAATTGGCTTAATAATGAGTAAATCAGAAGATGAACAGATCAAAGAATGTCTTGTGCCAATCACTGGTGACCGTCAAGTGTATGCCAGCGGTGCTGGATATAAGATGCTCTGCGTCATTGAAGGTTTGATTGATGGTTACATTCTATCGAAAGGAAGCACATTCAAGTGGGACACCTGTGCCCCACATGCCATCCTGAAAGCCCTCGGTGGTGGCATCATCCGATTGGACAAGTGTCTAGAATCTGTAAAGTCAACAGAAAACAATACTTTTGATTTAGATAAGGTCTGCATTGAATATCATAAACCAGATACTCCTGAATATTCAACTGAAGGACAGAAATGGTGCAATACTGGGGGAATGTTAGCGTATATAAATCGAGAGGTCGCGTATCAAATTTTAAATGCACTTTGCAAAAATGAAATAATCTAGTTAGCTCAACTTTATCATCAAATACAACTCAAGATATGGGTAAGCCTGGATCACTGAACCTTAATCCATATTAGTGTAATTTTCACGTGGTTTTGATGCAAGCTTAATTGTTCTTTATAACCTGTTGTTTAACAGCATGGGGTGGTAACGTTGCAAAAGGGAGACAAAGGTAGAATTGACAGAGTGGCAAGGAAGGTAGAGAAGATGGTTGGACAGGGTTAGAGGTTGGTTGATGATGTCTGCACAAATAATAATAATAATAATAATAATAATAATAATAATAATAATAGTGTAGTTTTATATAGCGCACATATCCATCTAATGTAAGCTTTGTGTAAGTTTATCTCTGTTACAATTTATCTCTGTTACAAATTATGATAGTCACCTTTTCCATCAGAAGATAAGAAGATAAGAAGATAAGCTGGCACAACTGAATGTGACAAGTGGTAGATATCGTCCGCCGGTCTCTCGCACTAAACGATATACCTTCTCTACTTCCTTCCACAGGCCATTACATTTTTTAACCTACACGATAGATGATCAAATATTAAATAAATAATAGTACTAGTAATAATTTTAGAATTTTCATAATTTTAAATTAATGTATTATAATAATCTTATATTGTGAATTGTATGTTTTATATGTATGTATGTACAGGGTTATGTATGCAAACAATGACATTTCCAGAAATGTTTGAGAATAAAGTTTGAATCTTTGAAAGCAGTTACAGTAGACAAACACAAAAGTTACTATTTATTGTTTGAGCAGCAGTAGAATACCAACTGTTGTGTCAGTGTTCGTAACACTGAACGTAACAGGCCATACTTTGCCATTGCATCCATATGTAAAACTAACCAAACCTACAATGATTGTGACCGGTAAGTATTTGGGTCCCAGTCTGCCCCAGAGTACAAGGGTCAAGAATTAGCCAATTAAAATTTTCCTAGCGTAAGGCATTCCTATTTAGTTTTCACTTGATATCTGTATCTTGAAATTATTATATTAATTTGTATAACAGATATTTTACACTATAATATACAAATATTTATATTTTTAACTTGATTGTAGCTAAGCTTTTGTAAGTGTGTATGTCTGCCCCAGAGTACAAGGGTCAAGAATTAGCCAACTAAAATGTTCCTAGCGTAAGGCATTCTTATTTAGTTTTCACTTGATATCTGTATCTTGAAATTATTATATTAATTTGTATAACAGATATTTTACACTATAATATACAAATATTTATATTTTTAACTTGATTGTAGCTAAGCTTTTGTAAGTGTGGATGTGTATTAGGAGTTGCTACATTGCATAGTAATCCTGGTAGTACGTAGTAATACAGTATTCAAAATAACATTTTGAAGAATGCATTTTTTAGTAGAACATATTATTTTACATATAATTATAGCAAAGCACTGGGCACAGCATAAACTATTTGCTATCAATGGAATATGATGGTATACATGTAAAACAATTGTTGCTACTGAATGTGGTTTGCCAGGATTTTTGCAATGTCTCACTGTGTGAGCCAGTTGTTTTGTATTTTCTCTGTTATCTATGTCACTTTTTACAATGTCTTGGGAAGTGGTGTAGCGTCTCAGGTATATGTAGATTTAACGTAGTTGAAATGTATTTTAATTGTATTTAATAAATGTACTACATGCATCAGTTGTGATTCAAGTATTTCTTGTTATCAAAATGTTAGTAGCATAGTTAGTGGGTCTGCAGTGCATTAGTTGGGTTGGAGGACTCCTTCAGGAAATTCGAGGAGGGAGTTGCCAGAAAAGAGGGGGTTGCTTGGAAAGGGGTCCCTGACCACTGGGGGAATAGGGAATTTCCTCTCCCCTAGTCCCCCCCCCCCCCACAAAAGTAGAAAAACCACAATTTGTCGGTGGGAAAAATAAATATTCATTTTCTACATATTAGTAAACTATCTATCTGTAAAATCAATTCTGAAACCCCTAAATTGTCATCATTTCCCATCATTCTTCCAAAATTATTTATTTCATTTATCTAAAAAATTAAAGAGAAATAAATGGTACGTTGAGTTAAGTTTAATAAGGGAAGGTAGCACTAAACTGATTATTTTATCAATTAAAGTGATAGGTATACTGTATTTGGGGTAAATAGCAGCACAGTACTTTTTTCATATATGGCCATGCACTTTTAACTCGCCACCCATAGCGTTACATTGTTTAATTCTTGAAAACCGCACCCTTCATGATTCAAGTGAACTTAACACAAGAAGTATTAACCCTACCTCAACAAAAGTGTTATTTCTGAAAGGTAATTGAATGAAAATATTTGTCTTTCGAGGATCACGTAACATTTTTTCAAGATCCATTAATTTCTGACCATATTGGAATTCCCCGTTGAATTTCCTTCCAGAAAATGTGTAAATGTAGGGGGTTACTCCTTTTCATAGTAAACATTTGTGAATAAAAAAACACTGTAATTTCGGACGCCTAAAATGATAAAAGATTTTTCTTGCATAGCATTAACATGTTAAACACTGATTAAATCATACATTTACATGTATTTATTCAATTAACTAATGCAAAGATCAAAATATGCAATTTTATGTAATTGGAAAGAGTAATTGTTAATTATCTGGTGGTACATGTCTTCTGATGATGATAACATGTATGGCATAAGATACGATACAGTACATACAACGTTAAATTGCAATTGCTCACATAATGCCTGTGTTGTCTATTGATAAGGATGAAACCAAAGACAGATTTCACTTGTTCAAATCCATAGAACAAAGTTCTTTGGAATAACTGCTTTGGGTGTCACATTTTGCCTTGTATTTGTGACTCTTGCTTCATATTAATAGCCACTAAATAATTTAGTTCCTTTTGGATACTTGTGACTACAGTATATTCACCGAAGGCAACATGGTAAATGAAGAAATCATAAAATGTCTGTAGCACCTACAGAAGCAAAGTTGTGCAAGTTTAACTCGATGAACATTTTTTTCTTATAGACTTCGTGGGACTGTAACTGTGACAAAACCATCTTTTTTGTGTGGCGAGTTCAAAATGCATGGGCACATATGTTTCGAGATTAACCATTTTGATGATCCAAACAATGTTATAGGCCTACATTCAAATTTATTAACCTGGGTGAATATTGGCTTGCTGCCCTCTAGAGTAATATAACATATTGGCAATATTCAAATGTCATGCACTTTTAAATCCAAGAGATCAAACTTAAAGTCAAAATCTAAGCAGGTGGGTGCAAGATAATAAAAACTAAATCTCTCAGGGTATTGATTTTTACGATTCTCCTGTCGGAATTTGATTCGCAAATAGACTTCTGTAAATATATCCCAGCAAATATAATTATATAAGTTATTGAAAAAAAATTAGATAGGACTGCATGAACTTAAATTCACTTAAAACTTAGCATCTAGCATACTTGCATTTATCATCAATTATATATTTTATTAGGTTGATTCTTTTTGTCTTGAAGGTTTGCGTGGCGGTTAAAAATAATAAAATATTTCAACTTTCGGTACACCATGTGTGGATAAAAATTTAAACCACTGGTTGTTTGTGTCAATGTAACGGTGAGATATTACATTGACTCTCATCAGAAAAATGGTTAATTATTTTATTGATTTATTATTAAAGTGTTTATTGTTTAAGGCCTGTATCTATGTGGTTACAATGCATTATTCATTCCTCCTAATCAGTTATGGCTCCGGAAATTTGTCGTTAAGTGGGCAAATGCATTCATGCTTGTCGGCCAGGAACTTTCACTGGTGCCATCATTGTTTCCAAACTAAGCGTCTTGGGTTAAAATTTAAGAGTTCAAGAATTTTTAACTAATGACAACTCAACTCCTTCAGATTTTTTAAAGACTATTTTAACTATAAGTTTTGGATCAGAATTCTAAAAAATTTACACAATTATGCTATCATTTTTCAAGTGAAATTAAGATGGTTTGGCAGTTAACACTCATTGAAAATATTAGAGCTGGTTATCATAATCAAAATAATAATAATTTATCATGATCATCATTATTATCATCATCATCATTTTCTGTTCGAAATACAGGTATTTGTCTTTGCGTATGTTTTAATGTTTCCTTAGCAATTTATTTTATCATATACAACTCGTTCATGTTCTCTGGGAAATGGTTCTTAGGTTAATTTCACCATGGAGGAAAGATTATGATTATCACATAGTTTCACGTAGAAACTGAACAAGAAGATGCACTTTGTTGTGATAATTCAAAGATGTGGACAGGCTCGACTCTCTTCAACATGCTATTTAAAGCCCATTGACAGAAAACGCCACAAACAAGTCACATGCAAGCAAAGCAATGGCCTACAAGTAATTGAACTCACTAAGAACTAGTCTCAACTAAATATAAATTCTATTGATCTATCTATTCAAATATATATTTGGCTACACCATAACAAGGGAGAGCTTAAGATGATTAAATTTCAACAGTCAGAAAAGATGAATACAGGCCCTTATTTATTATAGGCCAATTACTTAAAAAAAAATAAAATAAAATAAAAAACATTTCATTTTATATATTTTTCTCAAAACAATTTAACAAACACACAAAAAAAACATACAGTACATATCTCGGTATCTTTATTCAAAATCTTTATAAAAATAAAATCAAGTTGGCGAAATAGAGTTCCTTAGCAGCTAAAAGCTGAATTGGGGTCACTCTTCAAACAGCCAATGAGAAATATCTATCAAAATATTTAAACCCTAGTCAAATACAAAAATATATTAAACCCAAGTCAATACAGTACCGGTAATAGACAAGTTAAAAGTGTTTTTTTTTTTAAATCATTGAAGTTTACTGTTTAGTATTTAAGAGTTGTTATATTTATAATGTTTATTCCGATTTGTAAGGAAATGTTTGTGACTAGTATAAAGGAAGGAATTCCAAAGTTCACCAGTTAATGTGACCCAGAGTCCAGGAAATGAATTAAAATTTTAAAATTTAAAGTTATTTGTTTCGGCAATGGGTTAAAGAATTTCATTAAAGAATATTGTGCCTTTCTCAGATGCCGCACACATTTTGTAATGAGCCATCTCGTGTGTAGGCCCACATAAAAATGATGGTGAAAGCCATAAGATTCCAAGGCCTCTACACTAGTTCTTTTAATAATAATAATATGTAATTTCCTAGTATAATTTAAAAATAATCACAAATCTTGTATAACAATGCAGAGTGAGTGAATGTCCTTGTAGGCTGACCTTCATCTCAGTATAATTCAAGTCATTTAAGTATCCAACTGGTAACACAGAAATGTTAATAAACTTCACACAAGGTTTCGTCCTTGGCATTGTACTTTGTTGACTTCAAGTTTGTTGAACTAGTACAGTGCAACTTCTCACACTGCTTACTTTCATTCGTTCATGGCTGAAAAATAATTGTTAAAAACCTGGTGATTAGGTTATTTCATATTGTGCGTACTGTAGTTGTTAGAAGTTGTTTTATGATAGTTTGTATGACAATCCACCATAAAATAGAACTAATGTTGTGGATGATGGTGTTGATGTAAATATCATAATTATAATAGGTAGGTTGACTTGCATAGCGCAAAACATCGAGGTTTCTGTACATTTGAAACAAAAACCAAAAGTATTCATGGCCAGAAAGTATAAAACTAATGGAAATGTAGAGGGAGGCATTCCTTACAGCTTTGCAACATACCCTGGCAGAAATTCAGGGGTTTTCATACATCTCAAATTGAATTTGGCGTTTCAAAAATACTGACGACTCATAAAAACTTAAGTTTTGTGTATGCAGTCGATTTATAAAGTACTGTAAAACCCTTTTCATTCTTCTGAACTTGCAACCATTTATTGTTTTTAATACTTCGTTCTTATAAATATTAAAAAGATATAGTGAATGTTGTGATGGCCCTGCAGCCTTTCTGTATTGACAGATTATATTGTATTTTGAGTACGTGCTGAATTTGTACTGGGAGTTTGACTTTATTAGATTAAATGTTGTGACTCGCAGCAAGATTCCCGCTGTATGTAAACTTAGTGCATAGTGCGCATAGCATGATGTTCAGTAAAAGATAGTGCATCTTGCAATGAAAATATAATTTACAAATAATTACTGGAAGATATATAATGTTTCATGACATTTCATGTGAAGGTCATTTAGTGAAATGTACTGAAGCGGAAATCAGACTGTTCTTATAATGTCATTTGATCTGCATTAAAGCCTCAGGAATTATTTAATGCTTAAATTTACATCATCATCGTAATGTTAATCTGTGATAATCTTGTACAAAGCTGGTCTCCCAAAATGGTCATGTTCTTCTACCATCTTCTATCCGATCACGATTAAACTCATTCTGCCACGTTAATAATCTATCATGCTATATGGAGTCTAGGTATAAAGAGTCTGAGCCAACAGAGAGACAGAGAACAATCCAAATTATAATAGATACTGTATATAATAACAGATTGTATTTCTCATCAAAAAAATGGGTTTGCCGATTTCACGAAGAAAATATAATCGCACATACCCCAAAACATTGTGTTGATGGTAAAAAACAAACAAATTTACCAATCAAACATCTTGAATACAAGCACTGGTTATTACTCTGACACATACAATTCTTTGTGACAATGAATACTTCATTTGTATTAAGAAACCATAGTTATCTAAATTTATTAATAGGTGTCAGCAAAAATATGTGAACATTCTAATACATAAATTTACTTAAAAAGCTTTTTCCTGAAATCCATTAAAAACATGCTATTCATTGAATTCATTGGTGTGTTATACTTAATTGTTTTCTTCACACAAGAGCTTAAATTAAAAACAAAATTTGATTAGTTAATGAGTTTTCTGAGAAAACATAGCTGTACTAGGTCAATGAACTTTCATTAATTGAGAATATTAAGTAAAAATTTCTGTACGACAGTACCTTTGCTAAAAATTTGAAACTTGTTTGTGGAAAAAAAAACCACATTGAGCAATGAAAACAATTACTGTAATTAAAAAATAATATCAGCAGTATGTGTTGAATATCAATATGAAGTAATGAATATCATTAAATAATGTGGGAACCTTTAAGTAGACATATAAAAAAAATTATATTATAAGCATAAATTATATACCTGGCATTTTGTATTAAACTGTTTGCAGTTAACTGGTGCAAAGATTGTGAATACTGAATCAATGAACAGGAAATTCATATGAACCATCAATTTTAACTTAAAGATATGGTGGCCTGATCTATTAATGAATTTAAATACTGTATAAAGCATTTTAAGAATATGGGTACACACAAATGATGTAGGAATAATTAAAAAATAGCTAAGATAAGAATTTTATTTTAATGACAATGACAAGAAATAAATTGGCATAATTGAATTAGATTTAATAGATCCCTAAAAGAAATCAAGTTTGTAAATATATTTTCATTCACCAATGAAACATATTCCTCAGCTAATTTCACACACATTAGAACATTCACAACAAAATTTCATGAATCTATCAACAAATAATTAAAAAAAAAATCCAACATACATATCTATTAAAATGAATAAGTCTTGAAAATACTTAAAATTTTCTATTTATTTTCCCTTAAAATTATATATTTTTCCATAATATGTTCACTTTGTACAATTCTTTATGTTATCTACTATTAACAGAGGCACTAAGCAACCTTTATAACATAACATAAAAATGCTAAAATATATCAAATTATTCTTGCTGTAAAACGCAATCTGATGACGTCATCACTGTTATAACCAATCAGTAACATGATTATTCAGTTAACATTTCAACCGTGTTTCAACCAAGTACTTTTTCATTTAAAAGTCATGAAAAACATCTTGGCAACAAATTATACAATATTGTTTTGCAACATTGTTTTTCTAATAAAAACTGTCTTTTCATAAGTTATTTATTCTTAAAACTGTTAAAGGCTCTACTGATAAACAGTTTTACACAATGATGTTTAAGCTTTCACCTCCATAATTTCATTTAGTATAATTGGATTGTATTTCTTTTCTTTAACTATTTGAAAAATTTCTATCGCTACAAGTCTCCCAGTCACATCCATAACTTCCTCCAAGATATGTGGGACAAATGTCAAAATTATTTACTTATGCATGTCCTGTTTATCATAACTAACATGCACAATTGTTATAACAATTTGAGTGATTCTCATTTACCAACAGAACAGATCAAAATAAATATCTTGATCGTTCTTTGTCAATTTTGATAATGCATTATTTTCCTTACAAAAAAGATAACCAAGAAATGATTATGAATAATATGCCAAGTAAGTTTTAAGAATGAAGTTGAATCCTGTTAAAACAATGTTGTCACACAATACATGAGCGACTACAGAGTGTAAAATAAATAAAACTATTGTTCTGAAGCGATGGAGACCTTTAGGGCCATATCACAGGTATGCCAATCAAACATTGACACTCGATTGGCACTTGATTTCTCTCAGTAATAAAACTGCTACAACCAGCTACACAGACTTAATTGACAGTTAAACAACTGCCACTCACACCAGCAAGGGACCTGTCAGTTGGTTTGACTGATGGGTTAGGTCACAGAGCTGGAGACTAGGTTATGGTGTCATGTAAGCCTTCATGAAATCATAACATGTACTTTAAATACAGAAGAGAGACAGCCACAAACCTATGCCAAAATCATGCTCATTCTAACTGATTCATTCCCCAATCATAGTAACCTTTCTCCTAACTATGAGGAAGTACGAGTAACAACAATTGATTTTCAAGTCTGTGGATTGTAGTTTTCAAAACCAAGGCAATAATTTAAATTATTTAAACAACTCAGTCATTGTTTCTTTACTTTTATAATCTTTATATATTTCATTACTACTCAACTCTTGCTATATTTAATAAAATTTAAGGTCCATACCTGTATGTACTAAGATTGAGTAATAAAAATTTCATTTATATTTAATGAGTAAAATAAATATATAGTAGAGGGCTTCCAAATCAAGGCTATACACTATAATTTAATTAAACCAGTTTTGAAAAACCTTGTTTTCTAGATCTGACCAACTGTATTCTATCAATATCATAAAATATTTACGTTAAGTAGATTTAATACCTGAAGCGGCATCCTGTCCAACCAATGTCTATTAAAGAATAGTCCTCAAATAGACTATTAGTCCAGTAAACTAACGTACATGGCAAGGTCCTAAGTTGTTAACTACAACATAGATTCCTGGCCAATCCTTAAAGCAAACAATCTGTGTCTATATTATACTGAAGCTAGAAATTCCTTCCTAGATAAAATTCTAGGCTGAAGTTTTTACTGATCATAGAAAATACACAATATTTGCAGTGTAAATGATGTTTCCAAGATCTTAGCCAAATGTTGGCATTATGTGCAAAAATTGCAAACCTTTTCCTCAAATAGTTTAAATTATTATGATTTACTACTATGAAGAGTCTTCCTTCAAAATAACCAAAAGGTGTAGCCAGTGGGCATCAGAGATCAAAGATTATGATAGCTCTTTAACGCACGAGTAGTTGGACACGATGACAGCTCTTCAAGGCGTCAATGACCAAGACACCACTGTATCCACTGCGAGTGTTCACATGGTTTTTTTTTTTTATCACATCAAAATACTGTATTACGAAGCTTCAACAATGCCACATTGCCTTTGAAATTGTTTATAATATGAGCATGATTAAAATACTCAGAGTTCCAAAAACTTTAAAGTGACTCTTCCTCATTGAAATACTTCCAAAAATCACTTGGTGATCACGACTTCCATTAAAATTAGCTTCTTCAAGAGTTCAACAACCACAGGATCATGCACAGGTATCACACACTGTAGTCTGCATGTCCGCGTGTCTCCAGACAAGATCCAGTTCATCATGCAGATGCAATCGTCTGCAGGCAACCTTAGAAAGTAGTTGCAATACTTTTGTCAGCTTTGAACATTCTCTCTCTTTTGCTCTTAACAGTTTCAGAGTTTTGTACATACATGCAGAAGCCTTGTGGGTAATCCAACAGCGTTCATCTTATAGAATTCCACCAACTGTACAAGATCGTTGAATTTTGTCATCCCCTCATCTAAACTGACAAAACGTTTGTTGTCTTCTTCCATCTAAAGCAATAAAAAAAAATTAAATTCTTAGAAAATCCTGCCAACAAATTAAATTTTGAGCAGAAAGGTTGTTTTGAATAAAAACAGAAAAAAACAAACATTAGGCCTATAGACATGAATAAAGGAAATGAAATTCAAAAAGAGAACTCACCAACTGTATTGGGTAATGTTTAACACGTTGATTCTGGCTAAATGACAACACATAAGTTCCAGGCAAACGCTGACTTTCTCTTATTAAGAACAGGCCATCAACCATTCCTTGCTTGGCAAAGAGACTGTGTGTTTCATCCCGTGAAATGCCACTGTGGTACCAGGGCTGTGTTACATGAATACCTGGAAAAACATTCAATTAAATAAATGGTTATAGAGCAATATTATATAAACAGGGTTCATTCCTAATAAAACAATTTACTTTGTGATCATCAGGGTTCCCAAGTTGGGAGAAAACACTTCTAGGAGATATATTTGTATTTTGGTACACCCATTTATAAGGATATAAAATAATTTCTAATAAAACATTAAATCTATCCAGTTTTGCAGATTTACACAGTTGATTTCCAGCCAATTTTATGCACTGCTAATTCATGGGGAAATTATTTTCTTGTTTGACTTTACATTGAAATTTAACATACTAAAAACATGAGATACTGAATCCTTGATAGATGAGAGTAAATGCTTACCTGCATCAATACCAGTATGTAATCGTCTCTTCATGATTGGACTGTAACCGTTGTGAAACGCTGTGTATCGCGGACTTCCCGATGACATACAGTTAAACCTTGGACTGTAACTCATTCTAGGACTAGTAGCCACTGTCCTTGGACTACTGGCTGTGAATCTAGGGCTACCCCCAGATCCGTGCCTAGGGCTGCTTCTTGGGCTTTCAACGGGACGACCACTCCGGCGCTGTAGAATTAGGAGATATCAAAATTTAGACACGGTATCAAAGCTGCCTGCACTGGCACTGATATCACTAAACTGTGATTGGTTAATTCTAAACTTTACACACCACAAAAAATGATTTATGCACACTAGCTTTCACAACTATGATTTGCAACGCTTGCATCTGCCATTGGAGTTCATATGGAGAGGGTCACAGAGGTCAAGTAAGATTCCACTACGCAACAGCCAGCAACTCAACATCCATGTTTACCTTATTTCAAGAAGCACTTAAGTGACTTTATCTAAAATTGTATGCAAATGATCTGACTTATAATATGTTAATTAGCTTGTTGCTATATTACAAATCACTTATAATATTTTTTTATACTTACACTCCACTCAACGCCTTCCCGTTCTGCAATTGCAATCGCCTCACTTGCGTTTCCTATGATCCTGCCAGAATTTCCAGAAAAATCTATCGCAACTCTTTCATTGCTGTTTTCAATTCTCTATAAAAAACAAAATAATATTGAATTATTCATTCTGATGATATTAAAAGCAATCATTTATTTCATTTATATCCAAAGCAAGTAACTTCTTAATTATAAACTAAGTCTTTTTAAGAGGCTTTGGGAGTGGAGTTGTTTTAAGTAATGAGAAAAATAATTGAGCCCAGGACCATGAATAGCAAAAATATACAAGCTCGACAAAACATGTTGAAGTAAAAATGTCATTTACTATACTTCATTGCTTAATCTCTTAAAATGCATTCTTCTGTCGACGTACAACGTATTAAGGCTAATATGAGAAAGGCATGCTTATAATAGAGTTGATAGGTACATTTAGTAATAGGCCTACAGTAAGTGAAGTCTTATAAAACAAACTTGGAGTGTAATAGCGCTGATTATCCACTGAATAATTTGCCATTCATTGTCAATGTGCCTGTTTAATCCACTAACCCCTTTTCAATTTAAAGACGGTAAGAGTTTTAACAGCTCTATCTGAAATCCTACAGTAGTAGTTAAACACAACTCTCCCACTTTAAATTACAATTCATATCTTTCAATCAGTACTACTTGTCCATTTAGCTCATTAAACATTGGTAATGACATTACATTGTGTCTTGTCTGCCACCACTCCATATATTGTATGTGCATACTTAACTTGCTCATTCATCGCACCCTATTTTAATGTATTTTGAATGGCTTACAAGATGTAAACTATTTCTACATTAGCTTTGAGTTTCGCACTAAAGCCTCAAAACGTTCAAAGTAAATTGAACCCCATTGAATCAGTCCCTGTAAAATAGGACGGGAAATCTCTAGCACACCCACTGGAAATCATAATAATCTACATAAATTATCATAAAAGAATCAGGAGAATCATAAGACATCCATAAAAACAGTAGTTCAAAGGTCACTGGTTTAGTTCTGTCCACATTATCTCAATATGTCATATTACACCATCCATATATGGGCATAATGATGCCATAACACTCACTATGGGCAAATTTGGGGAATTTTTACATAAACTGGACAGGAAATTTTTCAATTTCTTAAACACTGAAGGATAAATAACTCACCCGTGAGGAAGTCTCAAGGTCCATTTCTCTCCCAAGGGCTTGAAACTTTCTTGCTGTTTGGTAGTTTTCACTCAGTTGCTTTCCGTTAGCAATCAGCCTCATTGCCGCAAGCCAACATTGCCGTGATTGTTCATCTTCTGCACAAAAGTATTTCACTTCTTTAGATTCAACGTGGGGCTTGGTAGGCTGCGGAGAAAAAATTGAAAGCTACATGAAACTAGGCTCTATCAAATTGTGAATAAATCCTTTAAATACGTATGTGAAACTTAGCAGTATAATTCCTCGTTTCATGTAAAAAAAACTGTTTAAAAAACTAACACATCAAAATCAAATTTGATATGTAGCTTATGTGGGTTTTGTTATTAATACCATAATACACAATAGGAAATAGACTAATACCAGAAAGTATGGAACATATTAATGTTGAACATGTTTGATTGGAGGGTGATTAATTAGCTTACATACTGGCATTATTTAATTAGAAATGCCATATGACATGCTAGAAATTAATGACCTCTCTAATTCCTCTTTAGGTTACGTAGAAGGTTACCAGATTGGGTAACTTTTATTGCATCTAAGTATACAGTATTTCAAAAAATTTATTTGCTTATTTTACCTCTATCTTTTTAAAATGCCAATAAGATAAGGGAATGGCTTTTCTCACATGATTTTTTTCAAATATGACATCGATAACTGTCGGGTATCATTAATACTGCTGAGTTGAGCGGAGAACACACACAAAGTTTTGCCACATAAACTAACACGCTGCTGGTGAGACCAGGCTAAGATAGACAAACCCAAATGAAAAGAAAACACACAACATGAATTCACAACACATCTTCACCAGCAGTAATAGAAACCACAGCACAGGTAGGACCAGTAGGGAATAGGGGAAATAAATCACCTGTGAAACCTGCCAACACCTGTACAAACTGACCATTATTTTAAAGAAGGGGAAAAAAAACCATTAAAGTATCCATGTGCTCTTTATTCATATTTGAAAGTAATTTGCTCATAGGCATGATGATGTCATACCACACCCATATAATTTACTGGCTTGATGATGTCACATTATCAAGGGCGGATTTAGATTGGGGGGTGGGACCAGGCCGGCAGCACCCCCCCCCCCCCCTTTTTGGAAAGTTAAGAAAAAAAGAAAAAAGAAAGAAAGAAAGAAAGAAAGAAAGAAAGAAAAAGAAATAATTGATCATCCAAAACACCTCAGAGGTTATTTTCGGGCATCTAGAAAATAACAATTTCGCAGGGGAATTCCCCCGAACCCCCCTGGGGTAGTGTTGTCTCGATCGATACACTTTCGGCACCCCCCGCCCTTTTGACATCTCTGGATCCATCCCTGATCATACCCATATATAGGCAAATTACAGGTATATGTCATATAACACTTGGTACTGTGAACAATTAACAGATTGTTTGATCATGTGACTAAACAACTTGATGTACTAAAGTGATTAAATCTGAACAATCTGATCACTTTACCATCATTTTCATCACTTAAACTTGATCTCATCCACCTGTTTCGTTTTACCAGCTAATTTTGGTTTGCCAGGCAAAAAAACTTCTTTCAATATGATTTAGATTTTCCTGACGTTAACCAGCTGCTGGGATATAAATTGAATGCAGTAATAGCTCCAAAGGAACAGGCAACGGATTACTAACCAACAGCGTGAAGCATTCCACTGGACAGGTATAGAAATATATACTAAAAAATGTACCAGTTATGAAAGCAAAAAAGCAGACCCAACTCATTATTGATCATCATATTCTGCTGATTGCTTCAAAACTACATTTGAGAATTGTAATTTGTACGATTCACACTTGTGGACGTGTGTTACTTCATTGTCCTTGCATAGTAGTAGTGAATATATCATGATGCTTTGCATGCATGCAACATCAAACGCACGAATCACAAATAAATGCTGAAGTTCACGACCCATGTGGGGCTAATTACTTCTAAACGTCACAACTTAACTCAAGATTACCATTCCACCAATCAAATTCATAAAGAATTGCACCAAAAAAATGAGGATGACTGCTGGCAATTCTTACAATGAGTAACCAAAGACTAGACATAGCCAGGAAGATGAATCTGTCATGCAAGATAAGGGGGTATGCAAGGTTTTATCAGATGGGGTAGGGAGGCCTACAGGCCTATCATCATTATTAAAAATCTAGACTCATTATTGTTCCTCCATTGAATTTACATTTATATCCATTATCAATATCTTAAAGTAGGCCTGTCTCACTCTAAATAAAGACCCCTCCTATTAAAGACCAATTTCCTGTGGTCCCATATTAACAATGTCTTTTACTTTTATTATTCTAATTACAGACCAAAGCTGCTAAAAACAAAGGAAACCCTCATCCCAAAATGGTCTTTAATTGGAGAGACCTGTATATTTTTTAGACTTAATTAAAATTAAAGTTTTGGTTAATGACAAAAAATGTACTACTTACTCTTATTGTAAAAACATACTCAGTTGGTGAGTGGTATTGCTTCTTTCCATTTATTGCATAATGAAGCTCTAGTCTATCAAATTGCACATAACATGTTAAATGTTTTGGGTCCTGTAACAGAAAGAAAAAACATCTTGTTGATTTTTAACTTGGTAAGTAACACATTGAATGATTCTATGGAGTACTATTACAACAGAACAAATAAAAAAGACATTGTTGACAGGGGGGGAATAAGGCAAGAATCTTTTCGCCGTTTTGGCTTGTAAAATTCTAAAAACGAGAGGCAGCCAATCAATGCAAAAAAGAATATGAAGCATAGTATTTCAATTTGGCCTGATGATGATGATGCTAAGAGATCAGAATATCAGATTAGGAGATCCATATAGATGAATGTTCCCTTTACAGCCATCTGCTTTGCCTTTCATTAAGTACCTGTATACTCTTTTGTGATTGGACAAAAATAAAAAATAAAATCTATCACATCAATGAAGATTCTTGGCAGTAAGTAAAGTGATAGCCTATTAAGTAAATACAAAATATAAAATTACCAAAACAATGAATTACAGTTTGACAGGGACATCATTTTCTACAAAATGTCTCTGTTTAAAGATTAAATATGTTTGATCACACAGAGACTTGGTAATAATAATAAAATTTATAATAGAGTTCATAGTGAATAAATTTAAAGACATCTGACAGACATTTCTTCTATTGAATCTTTGATTGCCAAAAACTTACATCTCTAGCTTATAACATATAATGTCAATCATGCTAAACTTCACTATCTGGGGGTCTTTCATATGCCCTTGGGGGCACTGCTGTACCCCTAGAGGCATGATTATGGCTACTGATTTAACCACCATAACCTAGCAACTATCACCCTCGATTATGCATCAAACTCAAAGTGGTGACTGTTACTATGGTGACAGTTATCTCAGATGATTGGCAGCTCTGTATTCTCATCAGTTCAAATTGTTCAGGCATTTTGTCTGTGGTTTCCATAGCAACTGAACTCCAGTGAAGTTGCCATCGACTGCCATTTGGTGAGATGAATATCAAATTGCCTAGCTGGCACCATGGGAGCACAGAGCCCTGTGGCTTCAATGTAACGACAATGCTTAAGCAGTCAGCTTTGCACTTTCATGACAATTGTCAATGGTTTTTATGAGGTACCGTACACATCTTCATATATCAATACTCATACAATTTTTAAATATGTATGAATAATTCACAACGTTTTGTACAAAGAATTTACAAGGAAATAAGAATTTTAAAATCAAATGTAAAAATTTAAATTTTACTCTAAAAAATATATTGAATGAATATTTATTTCTTAATTAAATATAATTAACTAAATGACAAAATGTCATATAAAAATCGGGAAAAAACAAATCAAAAATAAAATGGTTAGCAATTAAAATCAGTTAAATTGGTTCTCAAAAAAAATCTTTCTGTATCTGGTTTATAAATAACAAAACTCTTCATGTGTGAAATGAATTTGATCCAATCACCGTTTCACTTGTCAAAAAATCCCACACAGAAAGCAAAAAATAAAATCATTTTACAGTGAGAAGGAATATAAAAGTAATTTAAAAGAGAGATGAACCGAGGTTAATTGACAGTCAGATTTAGTTGCAAGAATCTGATGGGTTTCTCATTATTATATTGATTATGTATAAATCCTTCAACTCCGCGGTCATTAAAAAGTCTTGTAGGAGAACACTGACACTATACAACCTTTAACCACCTGATCATCTGATGAAATAAATGATTTGAGAAAATACCAATGAAGCCCTTTAAAAACCCTGTAGTCACGATTGCTTACTGTACATAATGGTACAATAGTTAGCTTGGTGGTTAAGAATTTTGCCTTTAAATTATTGTACAAGGTCCTGGGTACTAATTCTGCAAGACACCAGGAATTTTTCTCAGAAGCCTCCTAATTAAACTTGTGGCAAGACACTTGGTAAGAAAGCAATAAATAAAATAAATTAAGATATACAACTAAGCTGTGTATAAAATGCACACAAGTATCAATAATACACCTACACACCTACAACCCAACCAGTGTTTTTATCTCAAAAACCATATTTTTACACATTGTGTACCTGAAAGTTGAATGATTTTATTTTAGCTGCATATGTTATACAGGTGCTCAGGACACAGCATCTACATAAGCATGAATTAATAAGGGCTCACCAAAGAAGTAGTAATGTAACAATGTGGGACTACTTGCCTAAGTGATAATAATATCACCTTGAACATGCTACGGTGCAATGTAAATAAAAAAACAGTCCCAAATGCATGTCAGTAACAAACTTTCAATATTTACAATCTACTTTAATATTTATATAATATAACCCACTGTCATAAACTGTCATAATAATTCCTAAAGGACATCAAGAAAAGTACAAATAAAATTAGTTCTTGGAAGATAATCACAAACTGTCAGAACAAGTGAATTTAAGTCAAGGATGAGTACGCAAAAGATGTGAAGACACACAAACCTTTCAAAATTGTGTTGAAAAATTCTGCTACATTGCGTAGGAGTCGTTAAGACGGTAACTTAATCCTCACTTGAGGTCTATTGCCTAAATATCGTATCATATTCAATTTATATTTCAACGATGAACACATCAATTGATTTTGGCTGTTCAAACACACTTTGACTGAAGCACCTGCAAAAGTCTAAGATGGTTTACCAGGGCCTAAGAAAAAGTGAGCAACGGCACCTGCATGTTCTTCACATTATATTATCATAGTCCATTTAACTCTGGATGAACCGAGCCAGGAGGTTTTTTTCCAGCATGAGGCGTAAATATGACCTGATTAAGTTGACGATCAGGAAGGATGGACTTACAATGACAACATGAAACAGTGTCTAGTGGTTTTACACGCACATGGTGTAGGCTAGTGATTTCCATATGTTCTTGAGAATCAAATGAAGCTGATTAACAGAACAGTAATCCAATTGATGCAGGCTGATGCATTGGAAACGAGTCAAGGTGTAATGTGCTTGCCACATTACCACAAAAATTATTACCAAGAGACGTGCTACTTAGGCGAAAGTCTCGTTCCTGGTAGCTATTATAAGGTCCGTTGAAAGCAGATACTGCTCTGCTAGGCCGAATTAATATCAGCACTTGCAATTTTAACACGCAGAATTGCCTTAAAACTCTTCTACATATAGCATAGCTTAGCACTGTATAAATAGATACCACGATGAGGCCAAATTAACATCAGCACTTGCAATTTTAACATGCAGAATTACCTTAAAATTTAATACAGAAACTCTTGTACATATAGCTTTGTATAAATAGATACCATGATGAAGATATATATTAATTGAATAAGACAACCAAATGGTCAGTTGATCACCAAGCAATCAATCAATCTACTGTATAAATAAAACATGTATTATACAACTGTCTTACCTTTGAAGTTCCCTTCGTAGAATAGTATAATCCGGACTGTCGTAAGATAAAATAGTGTTTTTTCCACGACTTCTTGTGTCCCTCGTGAGAATGCAAGTATCCTTGAATTTTAGGTACTTTGTCCCCTTTCAAAAATAAATTCTAAATCAAAAGAGAATATATAAAATGTGAAAAATTTATACCTTAAAAAACACAGTAAAAGTATATCTGAATTATAAGTGAAAATTAAATGTCACAATTTATAATCAAAATATATTGTTTTTGAGTGGGACATATTTTGTGTACATTTATTTTAAATTTATCATCAGATTTTACCTTCAATAGAATCTGTTTTGTTCGTTCTGCTTTTTCAGAGAGGCCTTCTAGTTCATCTGTCATCTCTAGCATATGCATTGGAAAAAATTGCTAGAGAAATAGAAAATCAAACAATAAGACACACATACTGTATGATATCATGGTACTATTAGAACCTTAGGGTTCTCACTCAAAGTCATTAGATTGATAATATTGACTGTATATAATTGACTGTATAAAATTTCTTCCCTATTTCTAGGTGGCGACTTGGTGGCATGATAAAAAAAAAATACAAAAAAAAAAAATTCATTGTTTTTTATGGCAGTGATTTCTCACCAGGCCAAACATTTAATTTATTAAATACAATATTGTTAAATAATCTATAGATAGAAACAAATACTGGTAATAATCAAATATAGATTGGTAAGAGGCAAATAAAAACTGGCTTATTCACTTAACATATTTTATTTGTAGGCCATTTATATCTGGTTACTTACACAAGGGTTCTGAAAGATTTCATACTTTCTGAAGTTTTTCCTAAAGTAGATCTTATTGCTGCTAGATTTAGGCCAATTGTTGTAAACTTCCAGAACTTTTTCATGGTCTTCTAACGTTCTCTCTGTGGAGCAAACATACACAAAATGGAATATTACAACAAGTGATAAAAGATATATTACTGTCCAACTGAATAGTTAATGGAATAGTTTCTTGATACAATCTAGTTAGTGAAGACTGTAAAGTGATGGCAAAATGTCAAAGATTTCTACAACCTTTGACATTAGGAGACAGATCAATCAGAGTAGATATTTTAAGGAAAGCGAACATCTTAAGGTGAAGAGGTCAACTTGAAAATATTCATTTGGGAACACTCCATCTCCGTCATCACCAAGCACCATTCTTGTGAACTTCCCTGTAGTCAATTAATAGAAAGTGACTCTTTTCAAGATATCAAACACATTGCAAATAAGTCGCATTGCACAATATAAATCTATCACCTGGAAGAGGACATGGAAGTGAGAAGAAATAAGTATAATAATTTGCAAAATGAGGTCCACTTTCAACAGGATCAGGTCACATTCAACCATCTGTCATGATGTTTTAATATTTTCAACCAATTACCCACTTGCTGACCTCAAAAAGGTCATTAATATGGAAGAATTCACTTTTTCTGTTCCCAAGTTTCTCCTAACAAGCTATCATAAATGAACTTAAATCTTCCGGTCTCTTAGAAAGGACACAACTTCCCTTGGAAACCATGATTAGCCTCATGTTATTTGGTTTGGTACAAGATACTGAGCTAAATGTGTCATATTTATAAAATTATACCATGTTACATTCATTTAACCTTGGAATTGCAATATATATTATTTATAATTTCATAATCAACTGATGATGCTGTCTCTTATACACATCTAGATGTGTATAAGAGACAGATTTTCTGAACACAATCCCTGCGCTGACTGCTTACTCTATCTGCAGAAAAATATAATGATAAATATATTAAACTGTATATTTAGAAAAATAGGAGATAAAATTCAATACTACGTATACAGGCTAAAGCTATCTGGCTGCAGCTAGGCCTAATTAAAAGAACAGTGGGCTAGCACCGCACCGCCGACCCCAACAGGGATGCTCACTGAAATACTACAGGCCTCTACTAGCGAGACCTATAGGCCTCTCTTGACGTTGGCTGAAGTAGAGTTACGAATGGCGTGGTATTTACCATTTATGTAGACTTGAAAGTTACTTAACTACATAACAAAAAACTTAAAAGTAATATTACTCGTGGATATCGTCTCGTACATTTTTTCTACACACAATTAAGTGATATGACGTACGTATCGGCGGTGTACCAACGTCCCCTAAACCTACGCTCCGGAAGATATTAAAATGATAATTTTTGTAAAAGTTCTTATGATTCGAAAATGAAGATGCACTTACGATATATGGTAAATAGATTATTTAGTATTAGTGTCTTCCAAAAATAAAACTGGATTATACAATGTAAGTTACGGAAATAGCGATATCAAACACTGTACTACAAAACTCAATGCACTGCGAAACAAAAAAAAAATTAAAAAAAATGGACGATCAAGGTTTGTTTAGCCCAGCGAAACCGGTAACAAGGAAACGTGGAGTCACACTTTTCTCCATTACTTTGACCCCGAGGAGATGCTTGTATCTGATTGGCTTTCACACAAAAGAGGTCACAGCTCGCTGGCGACCCGCTCGCAAGCGGCTGTTCACATGGATCAAGAGCGAGCTGCATCGAGAGCCGCTCGCGAGCGGCTTGTCGTGGGTCACCCACGACAAAAACCGCTCTTGAGCGGTTGTTCACATGAAGGCCCGGCTCGCGAGCCGATCGTTCGCTTGCGAGCGACCCAAGACATGTGAACGCGGTATTAATATTTTCAACCAAACTACCCACTTGCTGACCTCAAAAAGGTCATTAATATGGAAGAATTCACTTTTTCTGTTCCCAAGTTTCTCCTAACAAGCTATCATAAATGAACTTAAATCTTCCGGTCTCTTAGAAAGGACACAACTTCCCTTGGAAACCATGATTAGCCTCATGTTATTTGGTTTGGTACAAGATACTGAGCTAAATGTGTCATATTTATAAAATTATACCATGTTACATTCATTTAACCTTGGAATTGCAATATATATTATTTATAATTTATCTCTGTTAAAGCATCTGGAAACCAAATTTTAAGTGAACCAAGTTGACAAACAAATTTATTTATCTTATCTTGTATTTATTCAACATTATTTAATTTTGACTATATTTTCTTAATAATAAATATAACAATAAAACAATATTGGAGAAAATAAGCAAAGAAAAATGAGGGCGTGTTTAATAGAAAAATGAAATGAGCTTTATTTGACATTGTCCAAAAATACGTGCAGCAAAATACAACTATAAAAATAGTGACTTCTTAATGAAAATTCAAGTGACATAAAAATACTGTATGTTATTGTAAAAAAAATATAATTTAATTCGAAAGTGTATTGGATTATGTGTTTGGATTGTACTCCAATCCAAACAAGTAATTCTTTGTATGGAATGTTCATACTCTTTAGCACCAGGATCTATTTCAATAGTTTGATAGGTTATTCCCATGAACTCGTTTTAGCCCAATTATTACATTATCAGTCGCTGATGGATATGGTTGGAGAACTGGGCCAGACGTAGTAGTTTTCTGTCTCACAGGGTAACTTAATTGTCTCATGACATTTCCCTCAGAAAACCTGCAGCAGTTATGATGGGCAGACCATGGGACAGCAGGTTTTGTACTTTAGGACCTAGATATTTGTGTCATTGTTAGAAGTAGGTTACTTCTTGTGATGAAGTCCACCTTAAACTTATCATTTCATTTCATATTTATGATCTCATCATAAGAATTATAATTAATCAATATGGAGTTAATAGTTATTAAAAAAATATATATATTAATACCTAATTATTTTTGAATAAATCCGTGGTTTTGAAATGATCTATCCAGAATCAATATAGGTCTATGAATTGCAATTAGTCATCTGAATAAACCACTGGATCAGTTTGGATACATGCCTACAGATATTAATAGTCATCATGTGTAACCACCGGATCAAGGCGCGTTGAGGCAGCAAAGCCATCCAAGATTATCTATATCAGTACGCAATCTACAATAATTCTTGTCTCCACAGCAAGCATCGTCACAAGCTAATATGCGCAGTGGAATTGAACTGCATTGCTATGTCAACAGTTTATGGTAAAACTTTCAAGTTTCTTCAAACAAGAGTATGGAATACTATAAACAAAACTTTATCAGCACTAATGAAACGTGCACACTTCACTCATCTACTAAGCGCTTTCTTAGAAACAGTTGAAAGATCATGGGATGCGGACGTTGATGTTGTCGTTAAATAAACGGGATCCTTTGGTAATACAGCTGCTTTCAGCCTCCTGTTCATGACAGCTTATGTTGAATCAATTAAATCAATTTCCTATTCAACACATGCTGAAATTGACTTTCCTTCCCAGAATAAAACAAATGTAAGCCTAATGACCGCATTGTGAACAAGCCTGTGACACTCCCCCCATGACTGACATCCTGGGTCATTGTCCAGGTTAACCCCTACTAAGAATTCTATGAAAACCTCAAAGGTTTGATCAAAACCTGCCTGGCTAAGTTAGATATCCGGAAATTCTATTTGTATTTGAGGCTGGATGGTTAAAAGTTCGCAACTACTGTGTATTTCAATTTTTAAAAATCGCATGAAATTGTTGAAGGTGAGAAAAAAATAATTGGTCAATTACTGTAGAATCAAATGGAGGTGTCCTTTCAGCCAAAAATTGAAGACTTAATAAATACTGTTATCACTTAACCTACTTAAATTTAAATCTACCTTTAAGCAGTTTAATTTCATTTAACTGGATTATATTTTAATACTGAATAAAACAATGAGTCAAAACTATTTCATATCATACATATTCACATGGTTCATAAATAATCATGTTATAAAAAACTAGTTCACTTTGTCATTAGTTTCTTGTCAGTACTGGCGCCAATTCAGAGCACAATTAGGCAGTCTGCAGATTCACCAAATTTAGGATGTAATTGGGAACAAATCTAGAGACTTAAAATGCAAATCCTTCATCTGTAATGAATATTAAATTCCTGTATGATGAGAGGCTTAGAAACTTCAAGTCGTAATATGCTTCTTTGCACGTATTCATGAATTATGCGCTATTACAAACGACCTTCAGTCTGCATACGTTGTAAGCTGCAGGCAAATATTAGCTAAAATACTCCATATTATGAATAATATTAACAAAAATAAAAATTTACAAGACTCAATCTCAACTAAATTTATGTATATGAGTGGCAAGAAATGTAGTACAATAATAACCGAAAAAGACAGGAATTTTTTTCTTTTATGCTGTATTTCTAATGTTTGTTATTGAATAAAGTGATTAACTTTACTCCTACTACTATTCTTTCTCCAAAAATAACCCCTCACACTGTAAATTCTTCCCCCAAACTTGTCAAATGTCCTTTCATCCACCTAATTCATGATATGCGGCAGACCGTATTCATTTACCGCAGTTCTCTTGACTGTCTTTGTACCACTCACCTCTATGTTATCTCTTCATAAGTATGTTTCACAAACCTCTGGGACCAGCACCATTTATTAAGTGACAAAAATTCCAAAAAAGATCGGTTATCTATTTCTAGTGAGCTTATTTTGCTGCCGACAAACGTTTACATACAGTAAATATTGTGTACAAGTAAATGTATAATCTTTTATCTATGAAGATAATTGATGAGAGTTACTAAAAATAGGTTACTGCTGAACCACATTCAATATTATCCACAGTCTGGCACTACAGTATATCATTCCTGATGTGATCAAACTACTTTAAATTAAAGGTGAAGTATGCAAATAAGTAGTGATAAAGCTAATTTAAATTAAAGGTGAATTATACCAAAAATGGAAAAGCCAGGAATGTGAAGAATCCATGTAAGGCACACCTTTTACTATATACTTTAATAGCATATAGCATATAGAAGTGAATTCAGCAAATCTGTTTCCAATGACAACTGGCGACAAGAGGATTAAAAGGGAAAAATCAGCTATTATATTCTCATTGAGAAAAATATTTAGTATCTGCTTGCAGTATCTTGCGATGTCCCCCAATGGTGTTACTTTAATAGAGCAATGTATATAATGATGCTGAAATTTCCTTGAAATCCAGTTTAAATGCAACTTGAGAATTATTGTTTTTAATTTACTATTTCTAAAATATGCCTACATACCTGCATATAGGATAGGAAATAAAATAAATCATTTTCATTTGTTATATACAATTTACTTGGATCAATATCTAACAAGTAATGTACTACACTGAAATAAAATAAATAATAATTAATATAAAATCCAATTGGAAGCTAAAAAGTACAAAAATTTATACTATCGAATTCATTGATTAATAAACCAAAGTACCTAAAAAAAAAAAAAAAAATTAACCTGTTATTGTTGATTTGATTGCACAAAGATTTTGGCTCATTTTTTATTATCTTTTCTTGTAATTCTGATCCAGCTTTTGCTTTAATTTAAAGCGCATACATTTCTACCATTCTGCACTAGGCCTATATAAAAATACATTTATTATTAATATTAAGTATATGATTAATTTAAAATCTAGGCATGTCAATGTACCATTATGTAAGAAATGGAGAAGTTTAACAACCTGGTAAAGGTAGTCGGTTTATTGGATACAAATTACAAGGATGTTGCCACCAGGTAAAATCAGAAAAAGAGAGTTCAATTAAAAATGAAGCCATTTAGATGAATTTAACACCATTATGATGGCTCAGGTATGCCCAAAGGCACCCTCATCTGCCTAACAACAAGGCCATCGAAAGACACAGGTGAGACATAAATGAGTAAGAACAGTACTATAGGGAAGATGTGCTTCAGGTATGATCAACATAAAAGGAAAAGAGTATTTTAATGATTGTTACAGACAGCTGATACAGGTAAGGTATGCATTAACTTGGAGCGGTTAATCCTTCAGGGCATGTCGTTGCTTTACCAATCAACTTATAAAGCCAGACAACTGCAATAATTGCAATACCTATTCAATTTTCAATAGCAGCCTAAAGCTAGGTAATTTATTTCTTTATTTTATTGATTTCTGTATTCTATTACTTGCAAGTTACCTGTTAAGTGTAAACTGGCAAGTTGAGAAACACTGCCGGCAAAACTTTTATCTTGTTAATTTATTTTTGTCCAAAGGTTATTTAAAATTTATTATTATATCTACTTCAAATGAAATAAACAATTTTCAAGTTTTGGTATACTTATACTGTCCTGATAAATTTATTTTTATCTATCACTGTTTGAAATTTTAAAAAGTAAATTTACTTTTTTCAAAATTACACTTGATTGTTGTGGTTTATGTTGTAACCTACTTTATTAATTGGCAGTTGAATACAGGTATATAAAAAGAATAGGTCACGCACACAAAGAATTTATTATTTATCTCACTTTCCTCTAACATGTGGCATTTAGCAACAGTTCATCATTCATGAAAGAATGCATTTAGTTCAAATTACTGTCTGTGACCGAGGCAGACAGCCAGGCTTGCAAGAGACAGGCAGAACTTTCGAGAGACAGGCAGGCTAAGTCCGAGACAGGCGGGCTAGCCCTTGGATGAAGTGAAAATGGTAGGATTTAGGCCAGGCTGGTCGAAGAAGAGAAAACCAGATGAAATCCCAGATGAAACCTACCAAGCTTAATTGACATTGGCAACTGTTTTTATGTCCAGGTACATTATAAATACTTATTAATCCTTCATAATCTTTATGCAAGGAGAAAATATTTTATGTTTAAATATCGAAAGCATTCCTATACCTCTGGTTCCTTTTATATAGTGTTCTTAATTTGGATGAAAGGGATAAATTCTGTATGTTTGTGTTCCAATTGTTTACAGTATGTGCTTACCCCTATTGCTATTTGCATCATTACACTTCACACAAGGGTGTGTAAATTATTTGATTATGTGCTATAAGTGTAAACAGGGAGCTGTACAAGTGTAAGGTATAAATTATCTTTTATAATTTAGACATGTCACTTCTCTTCCACTTTTTATTTTGGTCAGCTCAGTACTATAGGAAAACAGAGCAAAAATTTGAAGCGAAAACAAATTGCTTACTGAAAAAAAAAACACAGTGTAACCTTAAGTTAAAATGAAATGAGCGATAGAAATGAATTGGAATGGGAGAAGAAAACTGGGTTAAAAATACTGTTAAAACCTCCAAGGATTATACACTTTGCTGTTGTAATATGACTTGTTTATTTCTGAAGAGATATCCCTAGAAAGTCACAATCAGGCCAGGAGTCTTCACCTCAATTACTCTTGAAATGGAGTTACACAGGAGTCCACCAATAACTCATAGAAGGCTCCTTGCGTACTGTAGCATCATTGCTACTAAAGCAGCCTGCTGGTCGCTGGGATTGAATGGGAGACACGAAGATTGCTCTTAAGTGGGCCGATGGGGTTTTATGAGGCATTCTGACAACTAATCTCTCTGGTTCTAACATATCAATGTAAATAAAAACATCACATCTCCATAAATCTCAATTACTAGGACTAGGTTGGCTAGTCCCCATAGACAGAAAAGCGAGCAGGTAGGAAATCAGGCTATCTAAAATAAAATTCAATTTTAAATACTGTAGGCCTACTGGTCATAAAAAACATCCTTATTTATCAAAGAACAATGTTATAAAATTCAATACAGCAAATAAGCATATTTAAATTGTCATTTATTTTACCTAGTCTGAAATGTATATAGACAAATACCAAATACAAAAATCAATTCAAAAATTAAGATTTATTTACCAAGTCCCTGGTCAGTGAGATGCTCTACCAAAGACCAATTCTTATCTTCAATTGTGTTCTTTTTCATCACCATAATTCGACAAACATCCATTGCATTATGGGATGGTTCCACAATTACTGTTGTGACTTTCCAACTACCATCTTCACAGTAAATCTTGATTGGAACCTTGGTTTAAAAAAAATGAAATCAGCAATGAAAAATGTAATGGAAAACATTTTTATAAAGATATTTTATGGATAATATCAATTAACATAAAGTCTAGCATCAAATTAAGTTTACCTTTTGTAGGGCTACCCTGTAAGGGGATATACTATAGTAGTAGTTATTTGATATAGAAATACAAAGTAAAATCAAGCAGGAAACATTAGAGCATATTTTTTATATTTAATTGGTGGTAATCCTGACTACTGTAGTTGCTACACTTTGAGTTATTGAGCACGATGGAGGGCCATTTTGAAAACAGGCATGAGTAGGATGAATTATTTAAGGTAAGCCAATCAATTATAGGAGGCGATAAGATAGCTGGCTTTAATGGTGCTTTGTTTCATAAACCCTGGGATATTTATTGATATTTCTTGCAAGCATCATTGATTTTGACCATGTCCTCCACTACACTATTGATTGAAAAACTAAACTGACAGTTTGAAATCCAGTAAGGTAATCCAGGTACCTGGATGTTCCAAATGTTGTTAGCATTGCATAGCATGTTGGTCAAGGATTACAAGGGAAAACCAAAGTTGGAGAACAGAATTAATTTTAATTTAACTTATACTGTTTTTTATGCACCTTCACAATAATTAAGTGTGCCACTGTTAAAAAAGTGTCCTATTGAGATATAATTTAATAACTCAGTGCAGAACGGCTGTGATAGAAAGTATGTTGCAATGAATGAACAACATGGTAAATCTGTTAATTAGCAAGTTGTTCTTGTAGGTATCAATATCAAGTATTTCAGTGAACACAACTTACTGAGTTTTCTGATGGTATTGATTCCTGATCTTTCAGGTTGTCCTGGTTCCTAAAAAAGCACTCCTCCTGGAATGAATAAAAAATAGTAATTTAAGTAAAATATTGTTGAGAATGTCTGACAAATGATCTCTGTATACATCTTCATAATAGTTTGACGCAGCTCAATCAATTGGTACATCTCATCTAGATCATTTGAAATCATGCAACTTCCTATACACTTTTTTTTTTATAACACATTGTATAAGAACACTGAGGCTGAAATTGCTTGAAAATTAAAAATAAAATAAGAACAAATTGAGGCTGAGGTAAGAAGAGGTTTTTATTTATTTTTTTAATAGAAAAAACATCAAATCTTATCTGCACCTAATGTGGTATGTTTATGTAATACCCTAAAAAATACAGTACAGCAATACCGCTGTACAGTAATAATATTCTATCTTTGGGAAGTATGTAAAATAAAAACAAGATAAGAAAATTTTGAGCCTGAAATCAGCCAAAAAATAAGAACACTGAGCCTAGGCAAAATTTTACTGGTTCTTATAAAAAAAAAGTGTAGATGCTAAATTTTTCCTTTTTTTATTGGTCTTTCCCTATAAATATTTGTTTAATACTATGGCATGTTAATTACTTCTGGTAAAAAGAAAGAGAAAGGAAATAAAAGAAGAAATGAAATTCTGATGCAATAGCCTTCATAAATTTTTGTGTACTTAAACATTTGAAGTGGTGATTAAGAAACAGATAAAACAGTTTTTAGTGATTACATAAACAATGAAAATACTTAATTTTGCAAGCAGAAATTTGAGGGTATCTATAATATGTAAGGACTAAAGAAATAAATATATATTTTTCTATTATAGTTGACAGCTAATAATAACAATCTGTCTACAAAATGCCATTAAGCAAATTTTTATTTAAAGTTTATAGATTTGCTTGACAGAACCTACCACAAATTTAAAATTTGTGAATGCATGGAGGAGTTAATTTCTCCATGGTGAATGTGAAAAAATGTCAAAGTGACATACAAAGCAGACTATCTTTTTACTATTTATTTTTACTTGTGGTTGCATGCCTCTGTCCAGCTTTGTGTATTTAAATTGGTTTTGTGTAGGAGTAGAGTTATGAGACAACTTGCATATTTTGTAATAAACTTGCGAATTAATTTCTAAGCCAATTGTTTATTTAATCATTTAATGAAATTACCCCCAGCCTCGTCAAGGTGAAAGCCAATAAGCATAAATGAAATTTGTGCACAATTATTTTCTGTACATAGGTGACCAAATGTAGAACAAGAAAAAGATAGATGGACAACAACATGGTCATTTAAGAGTGGTCAGTATCATGTACGGTACCCAGTTTGGTACAGAATGACCAAGGACAGAAAGAAATTGCGATACATCACAACCAATCATACATACACCAGCCTGCATAAACTAAAAAATCCATGTGAAAAATAAAACATACATTAACAAAATATTTTAAATACCATTGTGAAAAATATATCCAAGAAAAAGAAATTCTCACAATTTTTCTGTTGAACATCACAGAACTAGAGTGTGTGATAATTATGAATGAAATAAAAATTCATGAAATGCATTGAAACCCATGACTCAATCTCATAATTTAAATTTAATGAGGACATTAACTGAGAAACTGACATCAGGATTAGAAATGTCAAGAGACATGGTATTAAGAGTGACGTACATTCTCAGATATTTAACACTATAAGCATGGAGTATGTAAGTACTGTAACCATTTCATAACAAGATGGGTCCATTGCATTACAGGTAGTCAAACTTAAGTTCTTCATTATGAACCAAAACTTCACTAAAAACATCTTATCTTATTGGATTCTGATCTACTTGGAGAAACAAATCATGATGTTTGGCAGGCAACCAAGCTAATCTGCAACTTTTTGACCGAATTAAATGAATACTGCACATGAAGTAAGACTGCAAAATCCTCACAATGCATATCAGTTTAATGTTTTAAATACAACAATCTTTATATACTGTATATAGTACCTCTATGGCATACAAGGCATTAATAAAAAAACAAAAAAAAAAACAAAACAAAAACGATAAAAGTATCTTGCAAATGTACTGTACATCATGCAATTCTCTACAGGCCTCCAGTTGAATACCCTTTGATTATAGATAATGTAAAGCTAATTAAGAAATTATTGATTAGTAATTCACTGCCAATTCTGAAATTTACAACACGTTAAGTATAGATATTAAATTGATCATGCATGCTAAAAATAAAATATTATTACATATGCGAAAGAAATCAAATCTTTAATTTTTGTTAAACAAAACAGATAGTCCTGTGGGAGTAAATATGCTAATTATTAATTTCATCTGATAAAAAACAATTTTTTCCACAATTTATCAGTAAATGTGACGATAAACATGTTTCTTTCTTTACCTGTCCATTCCGACGCTTGCGCCCTGTTGATAATGTTCTTCTCAATGGGCAATTATTTTCACTCGAAAATTTGCTCTCCATTAATTTTCTTTTAGTTGCTTCGCAAAAGAAATTGACAAATGCTGAGCAAGTAGGCATCTTTAAAAGCTAAAGATTCTCCGTTCTGATGTGAAATATCTAAAAGCCGAGCACAAGACGCTGTCCAAAAGTTTTAAATCCAGTTTTATGACTTCCAAATTAACGACATGAAAAAATGAACAAAAATCCAAGTGGTATTAGAACTTTAGCAATTCAAACTTTAGAAGATAATACCCTGTCTGAGGAGTTTACATGGCCCCTGGTCTAGTCACTTGTGACTGCTATCTTAAGCCTGTTACTAGTAAGTACTTTCCAAGGCTTGTCATATGCTGATTCACCTGAATTCTAAGACACATTACAGTCATACTGGCTGTTGATTGGTCCACAGTAGGCAGGCAGTGACCAAGTGGGTGGGGCTTCAAGTGTTGGAACATCTGTTATGGTAGAGGATCAGTGACAAGTCTATTCTTTGCGGGGGAGGTACCATCTAGCTACATATTGGATTCCTTTTTAGTATACAGTTGCATGGTTGCATAATGTCCGGTTGAGTTGGTGATTTAATGAACAGTTTTACACTCATATTATAGAAAGACAAAAAAAGTTGGAGAATGTTCTTCTCAATGGGCAATTATTTTCACTCGAAAATTTGCTCTCCATTAATTTTCTTTTAGTTGCTTCGCAAAAGAAATTGACAAATGCTGAGCAAGTAGGCATCTTTAAAAGCTAAAAAATGAACAAAAATCCAAGTGGTATTAGAACTTTAGCAATTCAAACTTTTATTTATTTTTTTTTACAATAGTGGCCTACATTTCTTTTCATAGAATTTATTCAATAAATTCATTCATTCTAGCCTTCCAGACACAACATTTATTTATTATTTATTATTTGGACATTCACTTTTTGGTACATAGTATAAAATAATTTGCATTAATTAAACAAACATTATAGAAAAGTGTAAATCTAGGGATGCAAGGATTAACAAAATCACTAGAGCTCGCAATCTTTTTAATCCATTATAATGAATCAAATTATTATATTGATTACAGCTCAACCAACACAACCAGTCTTTATTTTACCACTAGCTTGTGCTATACACAGTAAGTCCAATTCCAATTCCACTAGCTTGTGGCGTAGATCAGAACTAGCGTAGATGTTCTAGTACAGTACTACTACTGTTGCTTATAATTTTATATGATAAGCAGGCCAAGCCTCCACCATCAGGCATCAGACCCTGTAATTGCATCCATTAGACCCCAGCAACCATCCATCCATCAGGCAACCCCAACATACATCACCTTGACCAATGCCCTCAATCTTTGCCAGTTAACTGTACATTGGACTTGAAGGACATAAGCTCTTAAATTCTAATTCATCCACACACCTAAAAACACAACACAAACAAGTTTCAAATGGCTGAAATATCTAAACACAACTATAAGGCCCAATAAAAAAAATTATTAGTTTATCACCCTCGCACACATGCCTATGTTACTGGAAAAAAAAATTTGTGAAAACATTTTTTTTTTTTTTTTTTTTAATTTTTTTTATTTTATTTTATTTTATTTATTAAAAAATATTATTTATTTTATTAAATAGTTAAGTACATATTGTTTGCATTATCTAAATCATGTTTTACTTTGAATATCAATGCACCAGCAAACAACCCAAGGGTAATATTTGGCTTTAGCAAAATAAAAAAAATAAAAAAAAAAAAATCCTCCCTCCCTCATCACTTTTCCTGCCCAGATAGGGTGATAAACTAATAATATTTTTTATAGGGCCTAAACGTGTCTTTGAATGCATACATACATAACTGTTTCTCCATCTGATTCTTATTATCTTAGGAGTCAGCTAATAATAAATTAATATTTATGATTTCAATTATAATTACATACATACTATGAAAGAAGTATATATGCCCCGAGGCTTGCAAACATTATGGGTTGATTTGGTGTTAAGAAAACCTAGGATCATTGCAGGATTTGAACCCAAAATCTGACATAAAAAGCCAGTCACCATATCCACAAAGTAAACTTTTTTTTAATAGAATCTTCTCTGTATATGGTCAAATAAATAAATAGAAACAAAATGAGTAGGTAAAATATATCATAGCTATGTGCAAATGTACAGTAGCCTGCATAATATACCATTAACAGTCGTAAGTAATAAGAACCCTATTTAATAGGCTTTGGTGGATCAACCGGTCAAGAATGGTAGGATATAAATATACAAAGACTTATTGATAGCATGCAGACAGGTACTGTAGAAGCTATTTCTGTTTAGAAGTACACCCACCTGCAGATAAGACACTATTCTCTTTTATCTTTTGTCTGTACACTTTGTGAATGTGAATGTCTCTCAAATAACTTAGTTTGCTATCAGCGTTCTCTTGACATTTGTGTTACTACACACAGGGGCCACAAGTTGGAAGAAGTCATTCCCAGGAGCTCTGTTTAAAGGCACCTTTTTTAGCACACCTAATTTTGTTTTGCTTTATGGTGATACCAATCAACACTGTCTTCAGTAAGACGAATGATAATAAAAGGGTAATACAATAGGAAAAACATGCAGATTTAATGAATTCATGTCCGGTTGCAAGAGTGCAGGATTCCATGCTGATTTCCGCAACTTGCGGGAGATTTGTTGCCCTGCTAAACATCCAATGGTGAAGCACACCTTACAGGTGACAGCGCTTTTATGCTTTTACTTCTCCTCGGCTTTTATATCTAGTTGGTGAGATACTGTAGGTTATTTTCTTGGAGATGCTTGTCTGGTTGCGGAAGTCTCAATTTAAGCAACTTGCAGGAGACTTGGGGACCTGCCACACATCCAATGGAGAAGCACACCTTACAGGTGACAGCATTTTATGCTTTAACTATTCTCCTCGGCTTTTATATCTAGTTGCATGAGGTACTGTAGGTTATTTTCTGGGAGATTCTTGTCCGAGTGTGGGAAGCCGTCCTGATGTCCGCAAGTTGAAGGAGACTTGGGACCCTGCTAAACATCCTTATAGGTGACAGTGCTTTTATGCCCCTTTTACTTTTACTACTGAGCTCACTCTATATCTGGCACTCTCACTTGCATTGAACATTCTATGTATGAGCACTCGACTCTACTGAGTCCATTCTCACCATTACTACATTACTGAGCCCTCGTAACTGTTCTGAGTCCACTCTTCACCTATACTGAACAATCATATGGGGGGGGGGGGTGTCAGTTCCCCCGAACAAAAAAAAAAAGGAAAAAAAGGTATATTTGGGTAAAAATATATATAATACTACATTCAACTAGTCATTAATTATGTAGTACATACATACTGAGGCAACTATATTAGTTATCTCAATACTGTAGTACACAAAACTAACATTCTTACTACTTGGAGACTGAGCCCTGAGATCACCCAAAATGTTCAAGTCCCAAACTGCATGCTTTTTTTTTTCCAAAATAATAAAATCATTATGTTACTATACTTTTGTTTGTTTGTTTTTTAAATTTTTATCTTTTATCTTTGGTTTAATCACTTCTTTTGATCAAACTGCCTGACTGCGTTTATATTCAATTTTTATAGTGGATTTTTTTCAAGATGTTGACGTTATCTACTCTCTGTTTTATGACTGTAATCGTCTGAATTGGGTCACCAAATTACATAAAAAGCCAGAGCTTTGGGGATTCGCCCCTGGAACTCCCACCAGGGGTTCTGCCACTTGACCCTGCTAGGTGTCTCGGCTGTGTAGTAAAGCTGCTGGAGCCCCAAGACCGGGGATCTTGGGGCCCCAGCAGCTTTACTACCCAGGGGCCCTGATCGTATGCACCGAGTCCTATCTTACCTGTACAAAGCACTCACCACTAATATGTTGGAAATATTGATCACATTTTTAGGCATCAATATTTCAGTACATAGTATGATATTTGAAGAAATTAACTTTCTGTCAAGCATAAATCAATACAGTATGCATTAACATGCAATATAGTTAATGTGTGAATATGTATTCAGTAATTCTAGATGACGAGTGCCCATATTTTTTTCTGCATTAATCCCAATAAAGGTAGCTTTAAGCAGGCACTCAGTGCCTCACAAAAATCCAAATCCTTTCACTGTGAGCGCTAGACAATGCGACGCGCGTCGTCTTGTTGCGTTCTTCAGAGTGATGTCGGCCGATGACCATCAGGCACAATGAGTTTCCAGTTTTAAGCTACTGAAGGGTGGCCAATTCATAAGCTATGCTCAGGTTGCTCTTAAATTGGATTTAATAAACATCATGAAATTGATTAAATCGATTCTGAACTGAATTTTATTTTAAATCATAACAATTATTAATTCTTAAATTTTTTATAAAATTTATAGTACTATAATACAAGTTTATTTGAGGAGTTCAATAAAATAGTAGGCCTATTATAGGCCTACCATAAATGATCAAATGAGATGTCCTGCATTTATATAAGTTCAGCACCACCCTGGTGGTGGAGTTCAATAAAATAGTAGGCCTACTATAGTCCTACCATAAATGATCAAATGAGATGTCCTGCATTTATATAAGTTCAGCACCACCCTGGTGGTGGAGTTCAATAAAATAGTAGGCCTACTATAGGCCTACCATAAATGATCAAATGAGATGTCCTGCATATATATAAGTTTGGAGGCTTCAGCGCCACCCTGATTTGAGCATGGCACTTTTATAAAATATTTGAGTGTTAAAATTCAAACACTTGTAATATTCCTATCTGACAGGTTGCACATTCGTCAATCGGTTTTATTAGTTTTTCTACGATACAAAAGGTCACAGCACGTTGCAATGTTCTTTTGATAAGTTCCAAGACATTTATTCAGAGTAGAGACTATCTAATAAACACCACTGCGCTTCTTTAAAATCGATGCTTAGCAAAAACAAAAAAAAATATATATATATATGCTACGTTGTTATTCAAGAGCAGCACTTATTCAAGAGAAGTACTTTGATCATTTACGATAATTCTACAAGTTTATTAACATTAATAATACCATTTTCAGCAAACACATATGTATTTTGTATGTAACTTTATGTTCTAAAGACTCGTATAGTAGTTATAACTGCTCTGTGCACCAAGAAACAATCCCCTAGGCCTCTTTTTGATAAAAGTGAATATGCATGAAGGCTTTGATGCAAACAACAACATTTTTGACATTTATCTAATGGTTTAAAAATGTCAATTTATTTCGCTGGTCACTGGAAACAGTAAAACAAATATAATGAGCAATTGCCTCCACTCCCCAAGAGGAATTTACAATCATGTATTGATACTGTAACCTACACTGATTAAATACATTCAACATAAAAAATGTGCATCTTATAGTGGACCAATACTGTACCTCACAGGTGGGCCAATTGCCGCCTGACAGTGACTTGTTGCGGACTGCGAAAATTAATTAAAAAACATATGTGTGCAGCCCCACCAAACTCTTTGTCTAGAAAAACCCATGTTTTTTACGGCCCGACACCGATCTTCCGTAAAAAGTAGTAATACTGTAGAACTGAGAATAGAGTGTTATAAAAGCAGTCCATGAAATTTTTTGGAAGCACACTGGAAAAATTAAAGTTTGGATGCGGCCCAATTTGACCCACAGACTCGTTTTTATGCCCCCCTCCCCTGCCGTATGTATTTCTGGGAAAGACAACCCGATTTTTGTGCTCTGACCAAGGATGCCAGAGAATTGTCAAGTTCAAGATTTGAACCCCTGACATTATTGTTGAGATGCCTGATCACAACCATAGCACCAATCTCTCCTAATTATATGCTGTCAATCAAATGAAAAAAAAAATACCATGAACTGAGATCAAGAATAGAAATTATGATTTAGGCTGAGCAAGAGAGGGATCTTGTTACTGGTACTTTGCAGGGGGTGACAGTACTCAGGAATGACTCAAGACCAAGGAGAAGAACAAATTAATTTAGTTCTCTCACTAAAAGGAAACATTACCTAATTGAATTGAAAACCCAATGGAGATTGAGAGTAAATTCCAAGACACTGAGTTTAACATTGATTCATGTTGCAAATATGTGTATAATGCTAATATATATATGTGTGTGTATATACACCCCACACACACCTACATACACATATAAATACATATTATAATATAATAAAAAGTAATGAAGCTAAAAAAAGCTTGGGGAAGGAGATAGAGCTGTACTGGGAGCAGTTGGAATAGGAAAAGCTGTCCTAGGAAATGCGGCACTAGGATAGGCTGGTACTAGTGTGGCCATTATGAAGACCAGTAGCTTTGGGATCGTATTCTTTAAGAATGATATTGCATATTTCTCTACATTTGTAGGCTAGGTTTCAGTTCTCATTTTTCTTTCAGCGACATTGTGTCCTCACTATTTTGAGTTTCCAGGGCAGCATTCTCCAGGGTCCAAAATCTTTGCATCACACCAAAAACCCAATGCATCAGAAAACTAGCGTTAATAATAAGGAACAGACTGAAAATATACTGAGATTGCTGTAAGCAATTAGAAATTAGACACAATGGAACTGATGACTGATGTAAATCGAATGTAAAAAGCAAAATATATTGAATTTTCTATAACGAAACTGTGATAACAGAGAAATGTAGGCCTAATGCTTCTCAGTATTATTACTTAATGGCTATATTGTAGAAGAATAAAAGAGAACAATATTGCTTAACTATCAAAATTTGTATGGCTAATGAAGGTTGTTAAATAGAAAACTGACACAGTAATACAAATCGTAGGAGACATGAAGATTAAAAAAAAGTAGTAAAAACTAATGACACATTGTGAATAAGAACATAAAATAACAGATGAATAGTGTAAACCTATATACTGTAGTACATCTAATAGCTCAGCTCTGTACCGATTTGTGACTGACCTAAGTAATACAATGTTATTGATAAAACTCAAAATTCATCATATTAAAACTGCATTAAATTAAGTGCAATTAAATAATTATTTTGGATTGGGGTTAGGATATTAACGGATATCAGGTTAGGATATTAGGTTAAGATTTAAGGTTGTGCCTCCGGTTCTGGTTGGTAAAACTGGCCTAGTAGTAGAATGAAGTTAAAAGTAGAATGATAGGTAAAGTCCACGACCATAGCTTTTAAAAGGAATATAGTTGAGACCGGATTTTTAAGTTAGATTTTAGTTCGGAATTTTGTTCTTCATAGACTAAAGATTAAATTTCTTTTAAATAAGAGAAAGGGTGGTCTAAAATACTGCAGATCTCCTACCATTGATGTTGCGATTCTTGATTGCTGATAACCGCCAAGATCCGGGAATGGATCCGGGATATCACTCTTCATGCTCCGTCGAATTGGCAATGATTTACTCTTTACAAGGCTGCGGTGCTGTCGATGAAATCTCCGAACTTGGATAGGTGATGAAACCTTATCAAGAGGGTCAACGTTGCAATCTGAATAAGCTGGAGGTGAGCTTGAATGATCCGACGGCTCGTAATCCGATGATTCATTGAGGTATTCTTGACTCAGGAGGTGCTGTTCGTCGCTGTCCAGTGGCGTTGGAAAAGAACTCAGTCCGTTTACAAGCGAATCAAGATCTAGATCATCTAGAAATATACAAATAAAGTAATAAAATCAACTAATCAATAGATCGCACATGATTAAAAGGAAAAAGTAATAAAAGGAAATAAATGCATTAAAGAAGATTAAATGATTATGTTGAACAAAAGCATTGTAATAAGTATTAGGTTGTACTTTTATACTGGTTCTAGACAGTGGATTAGAATTCATGAGTGGGCATTTAATGGGTAACCATTGAAGTTTAAAAGGCTATTAGCATGTAGTAATTCAACCTAAATCGCCTTTTTGAAATTCCCTCTTGACAGGTTTCTTAAGCTTCTCCACCTATCAATGCTCAGTCTCATGGCAATCATCAAGGTGGATGAACAATAGAAATCCAACCTGTGTATTGTCTTCAAAAATATAAATTTGTTGGGAACATTAGTCTACAGCACAAGAGAACAAAATATACACTTTACAGATTTCTGGAAATCTTTAAGAAAAGAATAAGTACAGAATTTATGTTTTAAGTTGTTATCTGGATTTGCCAACATTCCTTCTCCCAACAATTTTAAAGTGTGCACATACAAAAAAAGTGTTTAATTTATTTTTTTGCATTCATAAAAAAGGTCAGTAAATTATGGTGTATTTATATAGTGTATATCAATTACCATATGCACTAAACATTTCCTATATAAATTATTCATTCTTGTAAGTCTATATTGACAGACAGGGAAAAATTGGTATCAATTATCATTAATTTGTATTAAATTTCCCATTATCATGATATTTAATTTCAACTAAAATCAAGGATGCATAACAAAATACATAACATTAGTGTGGTGAAAAATTGTGAAAGCCACAATTTATAAAACACTCTAAAATGCATCCACGGCCCACAAATTTGTCTCGGTACTCATTTGAGATGGCCGTAGCATTCAGAAATACTCTATTTGACAGCGTAACATAAAAAGTTATGAATGCCTGACATACAGTATCCTTTGATACATAATGAATTTATTGCTGATGATTGAAAGGATTTGAATTTTTGCTTCAGGGATTTTTCAAATTGGGCATAAAATAGTAATTGTATAAATTACCATATAAACGATAAGTTGAATATCAATTATGTATAGTCTAAAATATGATGAGCTATAACAAAAGTATACAACATAATAGGCATGAGATATTCCTTAATCAATACAGTCTGTAGACAATGTTCAAACAAGAGATATATTGATTTTGTTAGAGGTATTCATGATCTACCTTGAATATCTCTATCTCTCTGAGTTTTAGCCATTTTAATCTCTTACTAAATGATTTCACACTTGGTTAGCGATTTCTGTTTTTGGCTACTGTCGCAGGAGAGAACTGTGAAACGAGAATTGTGTGATATCGGATCAGTGCAAACGAAGAACAGGACTGTCGCTTTACAAGAGATGCTTCTTCAATGTTCTACTGTGCCTTTACTGGTATATGTAGGCTATATAATGCAATTATTTCTGTACTTTTAGATTACCACATTAGTATTACCTATATAATAAATATTTAAAAAATTATTACAAAATATTTACTTTTATTTAACTACTACTTCAAAACAATGAGTCATACAAATAGATGAAATAAGATATCCCAACACTGACAATGTTGCCATAACCTGCCTAATCCTCCTTCACAAAATATAATCCTTTGAGCTTGTTTTTCTGACAATATACTCACAAACACTTTTGTGCACATTACTATGATACAAACAGGAAACATTATCTTATATACTACTAATACTACACAAGTATTGCCCTAAAAGCTGTTTTGGGATATTTTAAAAAATGTTTTATGTTGAAAGCATTAGAAAATTAATTATCCCACTGGTCATTACTAGCAGATAATTAAATCCCCTGCCTGCTAGTTTACATTCTTATGTATTTAATACATTGTTTAATTGCTAATAAACATATAGAACAGGCCCGTAGCCAAGTCCTTTCAAGGGTGGGTTTTCTGGGCGTGAGGTATTCGATTTAAGCCCTGGTGGGGTTGGCAAAACCTCCAAAGCAAGAGGATTTTTGTGCTTTATGGGTCTAAATAATGCTATAAAAGCAGATATGTTTGAAAACGTCTGTGTCTAGGTGGGTCTGCAGTGCATTATAGTTGGGTTGGAGGACTCATTTGGGAAATTTAAAAAGGGGGGTTCGCCATAAAAGAGGGGGGTTGCTAGAAAAGTGGGTTCTCCCGAACCATAAAAATCCATTATTTTGTTGTTACTGTTTTGTTTTTCTCTATTGGCCCATTCACCATATCAATGACGTGAGTGTGTTGCAGCAATAAAAAATAATATAATTGGGCAAAAGGTTGGGTAGGAAGCTTAAGATGCTTGACACATGATGGATAAAGTATGATGAATGACATCTATAAACAAAAAGCTTTCACACACAGACATTTAACATTTGCAATATTTCAAATTTGTCAATTACCGGTACTATCTACAACATTTTCTGTTGTATGTTGGTAAATGTAGGCCAGCATACACATTACATCTCAAAAATACCCACATTACCTAAAAAATGTTGCGTTTCCTAGAACTTTTTTCTGGGCTACCACTTAAAAAATACTCACGAATATAATAATTATAATGATCATTCAAATTCTAAATGTATAATTTTTCTGAAAGAAATCTTTTGGATAACAAGAAATATTTTTAGTTTTTTGTGTAGAATTTGCTTTGCATTATTGCAAAGCGATGTCATAGTTTACAATAAGAATGTAATAATGTTATTGGACCTTTCCATTGTACCTAAAATACAAATGAAATAACAATATAATATATAATTAGTGTCTGGGAAAAAAAATATCTAGACTTCAAACGCGAATAAAAAAAAAATCTACAGATGCAGATGTTCTAGCTGTTGGAATTTCAAGGGCCATTCCTCATATATCCAAGCCCATAGTCACAAAGGTTAAAAGAAACCCCCAACCCTCCCCCTCATTTCCAGGAATGCCCTTTTTAATTATTATTAAAAAATACCTTTTGATGGAAATTGTTGAAACTAACTTAAAATATTTGAAATTTGGCACTTTTATTGCCATTTCTGGACATCTGAAGTGTTATATTTTTAAAATTCACCCAAGCCATGCTGGGGCTAAGGTGGGTAAGGACTCAAAGTGCCAGTTTGTGAAAAAATAGAAAACCCCCTACCCCTTTAAAAATCCTGCCTACATGGTTAATATTTACCAAGTTCCTATTAAAATCTGTTTGCCTTGGCCTTTCCAAACATTTATACATGTTTATGTCCATGTTAAAAAATGTATTTTCTACTAAAATACTATATTTTTCTTTGATAATTAATGAATTAATCATTTAAAAATGAAAATGAAAGTAAACTGAATCTGAAAATCCAACTCTGAGAATGTTCATTTTATAATGACAAGTTTATTATATGATGATGGTAATATTATGAATAAAATAATAATAAACTGATAACAGATAACATAGAAAGTCAAACAAGATAATAAATATAATCAATAATGTCTAAACTACCAATAATCATGCATCACTGGGATAAGATATACAATCGTAGAAATTTGACCGGATACTTACTCTTTCTCACGGTTTTATTCCAAGGAAATCAAACAATTTAACAGAGCAAAAAACAGAGCAAAAATAAATATCCAAGTTTTGTGCTATATGCAAATGCAGATGATCCGAGAAACGGGCAGTTTTGGTAATCATCCGTTTGCCGGTAATCTGCTAAAAACGGTCACGGTGTAATATTTGCTGTTTGATAGGAGACACGCTCACTGTACATGGCTACAATTTGCTCCATTCTCAATGGTTTATGAATATATGATGATGGATTATGAGTATGCTTTTGCAGCTTGGCTTTGGACAAAAACACATGCTAGATACCGTCACCAGTGCAGTGTTAGATGGGTTCAGCAAGCTTGCACTCTATAGCAGGGGATTACTGTAGGTCAAAAGATCTCATCAACTGTGGCTAGAATCCAGGCGTTGTACATTCAATGGAATTCCACCAACCCATACACAGTATCTCATTTGAAAGTGGACACATTCATTCTGGCAGATGGTTGTTACAATCCATTGGTTCCACTAGTTTTAAATCTAAATCCATAATTGTGACAATATTCAAATGAATATGGCCAAGTATTACCTATAGCATTTCACATTGATCCCCAGACCCATTCACAGAACTATAAAGGCAAATTTCCTGTGTGGAAATTACTTTTCAGATTGAATGGATACTATATTTAGATATTGATACTGAAAATAAATTCAAGTTTAATAGACAAAATGAATATGTCACAAAAAGATTATTATTAATTATTGTAGATTATTTAAAATCTATTTTTATGCAAAGAGAAATAATGTGTCTATAGGAAAACTTGAAGCCATGACTGGAACTTCACAATTAGTAAAATAACAGTTACTATCCAGTACTTCGATGAGAGTATGGATTCAACCCCTAATAAGGAAACACATACTTTTTACTTTTCTTATTTGGAAACTACTAACAGGTGCCCACTGCTTACAGTTACCACCAATTTGGAAAATCTGCCAAGACCTTCCTATGGGAAATATGTGATTAATTTTTTATAGTATTTTAATGGGAAGTGGTATCATATATTATTTTTGTGTGTTACAGTATCATTCGTATTTTGAATGTCAAAACTGTCTACAGACATGTCAGTAAAACATGGCTATAGACAAGGTTTTGATTATTAAAATGATATAAAATCAAATTTTAGTATTAATATTATATTATTAAATGGATAAAAATTCACTTATACACATATTACAGTGTTTTTGCGTAAATTGGTGCATAAATTAATTACCATTTTATTAAACCCTTCACGATGAAATAATACTACAACTTCGCTGGGTTGAGAATGATGGCGTAACAGTGGAAATATTTGCATGTACAGCTTTGCGATCGGTTGTAGAAATTGCGATACACAATCACACCCAATCGTAATTCACCAACGTGTGTGAAAAACTCACCAATAGCAGTTGATAAGTAATCAATATCTCAATTGTTATCAGTTGCGAGTGGGTGGTACAATCTTTATTACTCCCAATTATCACGGAATCCGATCACAACGAATCGCAACGAATTCCACAGGCACTGATTGGCTGTGGTCAGTCAACATAGACCTAGCTACCAGAGGCCTAGTACTTGTTGGATTTCCCATTACAATATAAAGTTTTTTGTGTCTGATTTGTTCTGAATGCACTCTTGATTGCCAACGAAAATAATAAGTTTTGGATTACCACCGATTACATCGCAACAGATCACAACGCAGTGTACTGTAGTCTAAATAGGGAATGAATTAGCCTCTTAATTTTTCTCAGAAACAGAGAAAAGGGAAGGAGGTAATGAGGGGAAGGATGTTAAGGCACGCCACTGATGATGATGATGATAAATAGCACTGTTGATGGATGATGACTGATGATTGACAGGATGATAACAATGGTGATAACTACTAATATATGACAAATTGATATCTTCCACACACAACACTGAAACTCATGAGGGCAAAATACAAAACAACATGACTTACCAAAAAATCTGCTTTTAAAAAGAAGAACTTATGACTTTCTAAAAGGCCATCTTTTGTTAAAAATACAATAAATGACACTTGTACACCCAGTGTATTACTAAATTACTGTATATGACAAGACTCACCGGTATAGTATGCTACAAAATACATAATAAGTGAAGCAAAATTTTTAGAGACATTTATTAACACAAATAATAAAAAATAAACAATAAATACCTCAACTGGTCTCTAAAATGCTAATATTGATTTCCTTACTGACAAATTGGTTATACCAGAGGATACAGATGACGCAAATTACGACTTTATCACACAGTGAATGATTCTAGTGTTAGTGATGTGTTGACGGATGAAGAATTGTGTATTCCAGTATATATAAAGTTTACACATAATGATCTGGGTATGCAATAATGATGTAATGAAAATATAATGCACTCTCCTATTTGAAACCCCTCCGTATTTTGAGACTGCTAAGACCCCTCTAATGCAAGATCACTTTTCAAGTGGCAAAAACATCCTGGATAAAGTTACAAGAGGACAGAAAAGATTGCTAGAACTACCGACCAATTACTACCTTTCCAGTGCTGATGAACTGTACGTGAAAGATATATCCAGTATACATACTGTAGATTTGAGAGCGGTATACCATACTACTATCAACCAGAGTTTGGCACATTTCAAAAGACATGAACTACAATGATTCATGTGACAATAGTACTGTATATCCTAGACAACATAGACAAACTTGCAAAATTTCACTAAAAAAATAATTTTTTAGAAAAAATGTATATGCATTACTCTAATTATTATAAACCATGGAAAAATATTGGCAAAAAATTTAGTTTTACTCAAAAGAATAAAAAAAATGAGAAATACAGACTATTTCTCATAGATTACTATTTTCTCGATGAATTCTTCGTAACTAGGCAAATTCAGAGGTTGTAGATCGCATCTGCTGGAATGCTCTCGCTGTTATGTACACTTATACACTCATAAAATTGCACCCTCTCTAATGAGATTAGTTTTTGTACTTTGCATCTCGCACACTGCGATTGATCGAGTAGGCCTGAGATATGTTTGTTTAATTGTTAAAATCTTGGTCAGAATTATTTTTTTAACAAATTTGAAATAATTGTGTCAATACTAGCAACAGAAAATATCATGTCAGCCGTTTTTATGTGTGATAACAGAACCTAAATCGAGCTAAGGCTACGCCTAGCTTAGCAGTGTTGGATAAGATAATGTTTCCAGCGCTTACTATATTTCTTGGCAGACCTATTGCAAAATCAAACATATGGAACACAAAAAAAAATCAAATTTCAGTCTTATTTTACATTTTTTCATGTTTAGGAATCACTAAATTCAGTTAAACTAGCAATTTCATATTATAATTAGAAAACATATAAAATATATAAAAATCAATTTTTTCTTAACTGAAATTTTGCCGGGAATGGGGCTTTAAAATTGTTGACCTGAGGAAGGCATTTAATTAACTGCTAATGTTCCACACTACCCGCCCTTCTCATGAAGGTGCAAGTACAGGTTTGGCACTTAAACTTTTTCTTATCTTTCTGGTCGCGTTTTTGTGTTGCGAGAATTCTGAAATAACTGAATAACATTCTCTGAAACCTAAAAAGCTCATTAGCTGTAATAGGAAAGTGCCATTCTCAAGTCTTTATGTCACATTTGACACGCATCCCAGCGGAATATATCATACACGCAACTATTTTACGAATGTCAATTAAACAGTTTTCTAAAGTTTATAGGAAGTATATTTTCAGTGCACTTTTTGGAAGCCATTTACCATGTTTTTAATGATCAGCATTAAGAACACTCAGCGTAACTTTACAGCTCATTAACAGCTGTGATGCGAAGGCCATTGTCAAAGTCGTCTTTTCGGCTGGCAAAAATAGTTCAAGTTTAATGTAAAAATCCATGCATACCTTTTGCGACATTTTTGGAATAAAATATCATAGACCAACCAGATGGCTTAACTACCTACATGATATTTAAATCAACGACTTTAAAGTTCAACAGAAACTGTCATAATTGTAGTATGTTTCCAAAAAATATGAATAATCTGGTGGCTAACAAAGCTAAACTTAAATTATGAACGTATTAACATAAGTACCTTGACTAATAAGTTTGTGTCCTCCAATTCCCTGGTTGTCATGTAAATGCATGTGTCCCATCATGCCACTGTAACCAGGAAGGCCACCATTTTGAAAATGGCTATGATGGTCGGCCATCTCCATAGAGAAGTTTTTACTGTATATTGTCTTTGTGTGGTAAGGATATCTGTTAACAAAGAAAAAGATAATATTGATTAGACAGATCTTCAGAAAGCGCATCTCTTTAATTACTCCTATAAATATTTTATGCGATATTTAATAATTGTGAACTTGAATACATGATAAAATATTGCATTTTTGATTGCTATATAGTAATTGCATTTTGTAAAATATAAATGTTAAATTGAGTACAGTGAACTGTGATTGGCTGTTCATATGGTACTTGCAGATTTAGCTAATAAATTAGATGTCTTAACTTCCTTGAGTACAACAGAACTGGTAAAGTTCAGCGTTTACATATAGATTTAAACAATAAGACATCAACTGCATGAGGTAAAAATATTGATTTAAAATAATTAATTGTGCACTAAAAGCAATGGTAAAGCAGCTGCCGCAGGAGATTGTTCAATCAATCTAAATTCAAGTCATTGGTGCTGCTTAACATGGAACTTGCACAAAAAAAGCAGGAACCTTCAATTGCACAAATTCCTCCAGCAACGTATGTATTGCAAATTGAAAACATGAGCAGTCATTTATCAAATAATTTATTAAGCATTTTCAATGCAGACTAGATAAAAAGATTAATGGAATGATATTAATGATAGATTAGATATGAAATAAAGATAAAATCATAACGTTGACCTAGTTTGTTCAACCAAGTGAAGACTTGGGTGAAGAGTATCATTAATCCCAGAATAATATAATTTAATTCTGCACTGAATTATATGCGCTCAACAACCGACCTAGAGCAGCTTATAATAGCTATCGAGTAGGTGCAATCGTTAAAGGCAAAGCCAATCTGGGTTTAATAGCAATATTTTTTTTCCTAACAAGCATTAAATGATGAATATCTGAGAGTGTCATAATCAATATTAAAGAATCCACAAAACAATTTTTTTTTAATGAAATGACTTTGAAAAAAATGCAAATAAAATACATGCATTATAATACAGAATTTATTAACAAAAATGTAGAAAAATTTATTAACAAAATATGTAGATTTGATGGTTGATAGACAATATTTCTGGTAATACTTTCATGAAGCATGAATGTCCTTTGGGAAATACAGGATAATGTCCTATTCAGAGTGACGTACATTCATTGTATTTTGCACGTAAGCCTGCTGGTTGTTACGTACGAGTTCTGGACTGCAGTCAGCAGGTTGAAAATCGCTTGTGTGGGTTTGATATGACAAACTGTAGGAGTAAGCCAGCTTGCATGAATGCACAAAAGCCTCTGATGCGAAAAAATACACAATGGTTAACCTTTATGCTATTCACATTCGTCCTTAGTTAACCTTTACGCTATTTATACCCATCCCTAAATTCAGATTTAATGTATTGTGGGCTGGTATGCCTCCTGTCGGGGATTAATCATACCCCAATACTTCTTAATCTTCTAATGATATGGGATTAAGAACACTGACAACCTCTAATAAATATGAACATCTAAAATTAGGATTTAATTCTTCGTGACACCTAACAATGAGTACGTTGATGGCGCTCAGTGTAAGCATGTAAAATACAAATTAACATTCAGAAAGATACTTACAGTGCCTAAACCACATAATAGGCCTATTGGAAGAAAAGGACACGTATACAAGGTAAGGAGGAGTGCATCAGAAATTAAACAATACACCATATTTTACCAAGTATTAGCTCAAATGGTGCTCATTATGAAACCCACTAAAAATTAGGGGGATGGGCTAACTCAAAATTCCTAAACTAATTTTTTATAATGAAAACATTGTGAAAATAGTATGATTTGGCTTTTTATATACACATGCACAATTACAATTTTTGATGATGCTATTATAATGACATCATAATATCCGACGATCATTTTCACTTGCGCTGGCTCTTAATATGTACAGACTGACCATACGGGTGGGTGAATATTGTTACGCTTAGCAAAATAACCATAAATTGGGCAGCCCTAAAGTAAATGGTAAGCACTTAGGCATAGGCAAAGTTACAATGCTTCATTAAATCATCTTTGAGCATTTTATCACTTCTCAACTTGTGATTGTGACAGGTAGACCAAACCATATGTACGTACTCAGTATCCGCATCATAGATTTCTTTATGGTGGAATATCATGCCTGAATTCTTAACACTAGTTTGTCACTTCACGGCAACTGAATAGTTCATCTTTAATTGTTAAAATAATAGCATGAGCTTACTATACGAAGGCTCCCTGTAGCAACTAGAATAAAAGTTCAAAGAAGGAAGTGGATTTATACGCTCATTTTATTTCATTTGTTTTGTCTCACTTTTAAAAATTGGGGGAATAAAACCCAACCAAAGAAATAGGAAATATGGGCTTATCTGTAATTATTTTATTATTAAATCAATCTTAAATTATAATTGGGTGGATTTGTACTGTAGCGATTGGAAAGGAATTGAGAAAGAATGTTGCTTCAATGTAGCCGAAAATGAGCTCTGCTGCTAAGTTCTGGATTCTACACATGACTGAAAATAATTCATATTTACACTGCACTTTTAGATATGAAATATAATATAATAAGAGCAGTTTTCTGTTATGAGTCCATAATATTTATTTTATTTCTTGCTCCTGGCAAGATTGTACAATACATTTGCCAAGTAAATATTAAGCTGAATGAGACTTAGTTCATAAAGAAATAATTACATCGAAGTGGGAGTTACATCAAGTAAGTGCCAAGTTACTCATTGTTTTTGTGAATGATAAATAAAATAATGAAAATCAGAGACCAAGTCTGCAATATGGTTTACAGTATTCAATTTGCTTCATGAAGCATGTTTCAACAAAGGGTACTTTATAAACTAATTTATTATTTAACATAAAAAATGAAACAAGAAATATTATTAATCAGAGAAATAGAAACCAACCAAAGCTTCTCTGATATATTGATTAGTAACATTTACTGAAAGCCTATAAGACAGTGAAGACCATAAGTTAGTTGGCTTTGCATTCGTTAAGCCATGCTTCTCGTTAAAGCTACTCAAAGCGCATAAAACACTGTACTTACATTGTCGATTAAATCACACACAATCCTTTAATCATTTAAAGAAGATTTGAAATTGCACAAGAGTTCAAGAATCCCACAATGCATTACTACATTTTCAGCTAATCTGAAATGCATCTTCATTTTCCCAAGATACTTTTCGACATGCAAATGCGTAATCGTTTAAATCGAATCACATTTAACATGATAGACCATACAATTACTGTCTGACATTTGCGCTTGAGAGTAATTTCAAGCGATATCTGATGAAATATTTTCAGATAAATAAGGACTTTAATGTTAACAGCATACAGCTTATGTTACAAAATATAACCAACATCGCACTATTATATTAAACATTACCAGACTTTGTCGCAATAATTTTTTACATCTTCACTCCTCCTTCGGCGAGAAAAATTACAATTAAATTAGCCCTTGAAATCCGTAAATCGTTGGGGTTTCCTCACCAAGCCCACTTATGCTATTATTGGCAAAATCAGCCTCCTGCTGGGAACATCGTCCCCTCTGTCGGGCAAATCCTGGTGCTACCCCTGAACATATGACATACTGTACAGTATATATATATTTATAGTCTGAACTTGACATTGGCTTAGATAATTACGTTAACTGACGCCACTTAGCTGGTGTTTGTTACACCAGCTGTAGGTACCAGATTAGATGAAGCCAGAACACCAGTCACTGAATTTGACCTTTGGGTCAAGAGGTTGACCAATCACAATTAACACACTACCCAGTCACTTTTATACTGATTTTTTGGACTGTCTGGCAAGTACTTTTCTTTTGTTGTGTTTACTTGGGTTACTCTCTTATTTATTCAGTAATTATCCATATTTTTGCATTGTAAAGGCTGTAAGCCCAAGGGCTAGTAAGCTGTTATCTTATGTATATTTTCATTTAGTAAACTCCTCCTTAGGGACACTCTATTCAGTGGCACATTCAAGAATTTGAAATACAGGGCCCAGGAAGGGACTTTTACAGATGAGGGTCTAGGCCATCTGAGGCCTATCAATAGTTGGCCGGGCTCCCTGAGCGAGCATAAATGGACAGAGCCAGGGGCAGCCCAGATTCCGTTAGAGGAGGACCATGGGGGTAACACCAAAAGTTGGAACGCATATTTAATGAGTTTAGGGTCTCACATTCTATAATAATTACATTATTTTTTCTCCCTGACTACTGTAATTGTTTTCCCTACAGGTGGTGGACAGCTTTCTCCCTCAGAGGGGTTATCTCCACTAGCACCACCACTGGTTATTTCATGCTTGGTATCTATGTTTGGTCGACAAATGAGGATTTTTCCATTTATGAACATTCCCATGCACTGGAAGAGAGCACTTGCAAGAATGAACTTTATGTAACAACTAAACAAAATGAGCATGTCTTAGAAAAAAAACTAGTAGAATTAAATGCTTAGAGCTTGCCAGATCAACAATGATGATTGGCCTACTTACTATTATTATTCTATCTCGCACCCCTCTCAAAAACTGTCCTTCTACCAATTTTTGCTGATAAGAGTTACATTCTTATAGCATCACAATTTTATTTTATTGCTGCTTTGGGAATTAAGAACATCTACTGTAACATATTGGCTTTTGATGGAATCTTATTTGGCTCATTTCCTCCAAGGTATAACATAGCAAGCTTGTTTAAAAGATTCAGAGACTTTTAACCGTAGTGACTCAAAAATTCAATTTCTATCAAACAAAATAAGTCACATATGTACTGTTAAATTGCAACAGTATCCACTGCGAAAAAATGTGAGACACTGATGTAGGCGCAGTAAAAATAATAACTTGACCTTCACTTATTTTCAAGAATATTGGAAGAATGATTCACAACATGTTTTGCATTTTCCCAAGACAGTGTCTGCATCACTTGATAAATTTAAAGCATCTCCGAACACTTATCTATTTTAAATCTTTTTTAATCATCAAGAATGAAAATAGACGTATATACCAATACCTATCAAATTAGTTTGATATTTACTACTTGTACACTAAAAG